CACTTGAGAGATGATAGATATTGTATGGACCGACGCGGTTAGGATGTGTTTTGCGCGATAAAAGAGTTCGACGCGCAAATTTATTAAACGGATTAGGTACTGCCCGTATTTATAAACAGCGGTATAATTAATTAATGATTTCATCAATGATAACAATTATTTGAGTTATCGATTTCATTCACAGGTATTATAGGGTATTTGAAGTTACTGGAGCCCGTGTACGTCTGTACTCTGTATGGCTGCATCCGAGTTGGGTCCCGAAATTAAAATTTCCTCTAGCAGTTGGGTCCAGAATTATTTTAGGTACTACCTACACAAGTTGGATCCCAGATTATTTTCGGTATCACACTAATTGGGTTCCGGATTTTTTTCGGTAAATATACTACACTAAACTAACGTTTTCCTTCCCATTTTTATAAACTGGCTCCATTTATAGGATTGTCTAAGATATATTATTGATTACGTCATGGTTAGGTATGGTTAAAATTATTTTTTGTCAGTAAAAATATGCCTAAATAATTAAAATTTTATAAAATATGATAAAAATAGATAATATAAATATACAAACAAAAAAAATGTCGAAAATCTAATATTGAAAATAAAGATGTATTTACTATTTAATATAAAATACAATTTAAAAAAAATCACTGTAAAATCTATAAGATATATTACATAATATCATTCGTTGCAGATATTTATCTGTAACACGAAGTGAAATATGAAGACTATATTATAGTCATATAGGGATCAACAATTGAGAGAAAAATTAAATTAATTTTGAATTACATATCATATATTTGAATCGTATTCTATATTATGTACAATATACCTATGTTTATTTGTATTAGCTATTTTATATTTACTTAGAATAACCAGTGTTGAGAACCCGACACGGATGCGCTGCTTAGGCGCCCGCTCCGTACTATCGGTATAGTCATAAACGCAAACACACAATTTTTTTTTTGGAGGGGGTGACTTAATTTCTCCTTAATATTAGTTATAAGAAAACGTGATAAGATTTTTTCCGAGTTCATTGTATTTAATACATTACTTAATATTTCATTATTATAATAGTAGGTACCTATTGCTTATATATTATATATTTATATATCATATGAATAACTATAATATTATTGTCAATTTAACTTTTGAGTCAATATTAGACCAATTTACTGTAGAACAGTGTAAATATAGGCTTATGGTAGGCCGTACTGCCGTAGGCATTAGCATAAAATTAATCTTAATGTTTTTAAAATTTCATGGTGACATTGTGTATCAAAAAATATACTAATATACGTAAAAGTTTCATATGGCCGCAAAAAATATTTTTAAATTACAAAAAAATTACCAAAATCATTTAAATATTTAATTTTGTACAAATTTGAATTCAAAATGTCTGTGAATTGTGCCCATATTTTAAAAATATTTTTATATAGTTATAAGAACAACTTATGAGGGATCACTGGGATCATTTATTACATATTAAATTGGAAAGCTCTTTAACCAAGCATTAACTTCTTGTTAAACATTTAAGAGAAACTTTAACGTTTTAAATGCCTATACAAAATAATATACAGTAAGTAAAATAGTTAAAACAAGTTCAAATATTTTGAAAATTTCAATGAGCTAGAAAGCGACGCGATGCAGGTTATTTAAATAAAATAACAGTAGAATACTAGAATGTTTTTATTATTAATACCTACTTTTAAATTGGATAAACTACATAGTTTATACTCAATGGCCAATGCTAATAGTGTATTGTATTATATATTTATATTTATATTTTAGTAATTTGTTTATTATTAGTAATATACAACATATTTTAAAATAATTCTAAATATATTGAAAAGTCAATGCGTATTTAAAATATTATACTAGGTACCTAACTAAAAATTTCAAATCCTTTTCAATTATAACAAAATAACTATTATCTTCGTTTAAATTTCTAATATCATCATCTAAATTTGAACCAAATTAAAATTATGTTACAAAAAATATTTAAATTTCTATGAATAGCTTAAAAAGAGTAAAAAAAAAAAAATTATAACATAGTATTTGGAGAAAACTTTAGTACAAAAATAATGTAATGGGAAAAAGTTAGGGGAGGAGATTTTCTAATTGAATACCTCCTGGTGTAATACGTACAAGTTATTATTTGTCCGTAGAACATTAATCATTATTATGGTGTGGGGTGGGAGATCACTTATTCCATAAAGGGACTCAACCCCTTTCCCACTATATGCGTGTTTGTCCAGGGGTTATTTACCTATATATTGTGCATATAAAATATAGTAAAGACACTATAATATGGTTCATGGAGTATAGAAGTACGCTGTCCACACAAAAATTATTGATTTTGGTAGTAGATTTTTATTATATTACATAATACATTATAATCTACCTATAGACTATGTTTGACAGCTATACGGAAAATTAATATTTTATACACGTATAAAAATAATAATATGCAAAACAAGTAACAACTAATGATGGCGATTCAGTTGAGTGTGCGAGTTTCATAAATCCGGTCACGGTTGTGGGTTGTGCAGCAGTAATGTGTTTTTCATGGGAATACCGTTTGTGGTAAAACCTAACGTTTTTTTACTCATTACTATTTATACGTAAGTATAAGTTCATATTAATAGTAGCAATAAATTCCTGACCACTGGCAATCGGTTGTTTTAATCTATACTATTCGATAGGTACTTTATTTAGTACTTATCGTGTTATAATGATTCAAATATAAACTGCCAATTTTGTTATGATGACATTTTTTTTCTAAATAACTGTGAAAAACTAAATAATTTGTGCTAGTCATCTGGAACTGGATGAGTAGGTTAACCTATCGGCTATCATCACATGGAGTGTTATTGTATAGAGTAATATTAGCCACCAAGTCGTAATATTTTCGTAATTGCTGATAAATGAATAACACAATAATAAGGTCTAACCTTACTTGAGCTAATAAAAAGATCATAAAATGCAGTATTTAAATAATTTAAAGTAGGTACTAGGTACTCCGTACATATAGTTACTAAGTGACCTACAACCTATGTGATATTGAGGTAAAAATATCAAAATATTTTGTTGTATAGCTTATAAGTATTTAAGTCACGTAGAAGAATATAATACTATAATTTGTGGGGATCAAACATTTTACCACCATTTATTCCTTTAATGCCTAATGCATTTTATTAAAATTCTGATATATGGAATTACCTATGCATAACTGCTTTAATACATATTATTTAACATATAATTACTAAATATCTACTTAGATTGTATATACCTACCATAGTACATTAGTACCATTGACACAAGCAAATTTTTTTAAATACGAGAACCTTTTCTTACAGTACATTTTTAAGCAGATGTTTTTTTTTTTGAAAATGTTGATGATGACCTATCTAAATTAATATTTGCAAGAGTTGTTCCTGATTTATTAAAATGTGTGTATGCAGGTACTAGGAATTATGATTTTTCACAAAACATAAAATGTATTATAATATTTATGGTAGGCATGTACCTACTTATTAAATTGACAATGTTACAGAGATCCGTAAAAATCTGTTTTTATTTCTTAAAAAAAGTTTAGCTTACCTACCTTGTCATAATTTGTACAATTTTAATAAAGTTCACGGTGTAGGTAGATACGGTACCAAAAGTACCTATTACCTCAGTAGCTGCAGCCAGCAAGTTCTTCAAAATTTTAAAGACTATGTCAAACATTTTTTTGTAGTACTCAATCGGTTATCAGTATTCACTGTCGTCAATACAAATTGCCTTGCTCTTAGATAGGTTCAAAGTGATTCTTCATGCTCACATACTCTTGTATTTTTTCAAATTACAATTTTTGAAATTTTGAATTTTATCTATTTATAATATTTATAAATTATAGACCATCTTTATGGTGAATAGTGAGAAGTTATCCCTTCTGGTATATACCTCAGGTTGTTATATTTCTGGTAAACAACTCAACAAAATGTAATTATTCCAAAAATTTAACTAAAAAAAATTTAAGGGTTGTGTGGCTATAGCCCTTTAGATTCCTCCTATTGTACACATACGGTGTTCGACAACTCCCTCCATAAAAAAAAAATGTATACACCTCTGGCTGTACGTATTATATAATATTATTATGCATGTCCTTGTAGGTTGTAGCATCTGTATTACGTAGTAAGTAAACTCTTGTATAGTCGTATTTATATTGCAATATTGTACGATACATGATTTACAATAGGTGCCTATATATAACACTGTATATAATATATTTTATAAGATTAACATCCTCGTCCTGCGCAGCTGCAACTCCCATAAATGCCGAATTATTCTCGAGATGTTTAATTAATTTCAATGATTTTAATGTCAGACGAACAGACATAATATATGCACCTTTATATTATGCTGTATTGCTGTACACTCTTCGTGCAGTCTACTATACCTCAGTCCTCAATTGTTGACGTGCTTATACGTATTAAACATGTATATATATATATAGGTGTACTCATTCCTTTATTATTATTATTGTCCACTTTAAAAAATAAGACACGGAAATGTATTTCGTTTTTCTCGGGACGACGAGTCCAGCGCCTACATGTATAGTATTGTATACGCCGTTTACTTATGTAAACATATATAATAACAATAATAACAATATGTTATATATATATAGTAGGTATTATAACGCGACCGAATCCAAATGATAATATATAATATACACAATTTGATATCGCCGTCGCCGGTTTGTTGCCCAATTGAAATCACGACTATAATATTGTTTGGGAACGGCGGCGTGCCAATTTAATTGTTCAATTTACACGTGCACCGCGCAAACAGGACGCGTCACTTATGTAAAACGCGTTCGGGGGAGAAAATGGAAAAAAAATCGACGTCCTCGCGTCAATTTGGTCTCCGCATAGATATTGCGTTTCATTGCTATTTAATGTGCACAGAGGTCATAATCATAACACCGCGACAAAGGCACCAGGTGCGTATAAAAGACCTCGGAGACCTCGGTCGGGCGTCAGTATAATACACGCGTCGATCGTCGTACCAAGTGACTTTATGCTGCAGCCCGAAGACAACAGAAATTAATATTACCGTCTGTCGCGTTATTAATAATCGTCGTACACATCATAGGGATACACTCACCACGCAGCCAGGCTTTAGTCCATTTACCACACTGAGCAGTCCTAGATCACCGGCATCGTGCGAGATCAGCTCTTGCAGCAGCATCGTGCATACCTAGTACATTCGTCGACATCATGAAGGTATCTGCAGCGACCGCCGTCCTGGTTGCTCTGGTCGCCACCGTGCAGGTAAAACCATTGGAAACCGCACATTTATACACCTATATATAGAAATCTACCGTTAATATAGAAGGGTGGTAGGCTATTCCTTATTATTTATTACATTAATACATTATATATACCTGCAGCTGCAGCGCAGTTTTGTTTCCAACTTGAATTTCCAAGAAGCTTTCCCGTTGTCTTATCTATATCACAAGCTCCAACGTCGGGGTGGTTTTTGATACATTTAAAACTGATAAATAAAATAAGTCTTGAAAAATGATTTCAAAAGAAAACAAAAATATGTTATGGGGCCTACAATAGGTTTAGGACAGGGAGTGCTGAGAATTCGTCTAGAAACTACATTAAATAATGGATATACTTTCCAAAATCTATTTTGATATGATGATAGGAAGCCCCAATTTCAGTTGGGTATATCTTTGTTACGTGCATTCAAATACTATTACTGATTTCCACAAGCTCCCAAACGCCACATGTATATGAAATCTATACACGTCAATGTTAAGTATAATTAAACAAAGTACAGTGAAATCTGTATATAACAGACAGTCACGAGACCATCTAAAGTGTCTGTTCGACAGTTTCTATCTTTTTAACTATTTTTTGGCCGGGACTTTATATCATATTGTTCGTTAGAGAGAGGTATCCGTTTAGACAGGTTTTGCTGTATATTTAAAATATAACTGCAAATTTTGGTTACTTAAAAATTACGCTGGTAATAATAAAAACACAGTTACAATATCAAATATAAGATATTTTTACCACTACGTACTTGCCTATAAAATATATTAGAATGAATAATAACAATGTATTTTTATTATTCATGATTCATCATTATCATGCATGACAATCATCAAATATTTATTGTGATGGCTATGTTAAATTAAAATCCCAACCGCATAGTATAACTGTCGTTACTTGTTTCACAATTGTAAGCGGGTAACGATTTACGGGGTATAAAATTTTTCAAAATGTCACTATTTTGTCCATAACTATATGGAAAACGAAGAAGGAATTTTTGTAATTTATTTTTAATTTGAAAACTCCAAATAATTAAAAATATTTTCTCGGGCGGTATGTGTTTGTAGTTTTGTACCTTCTGGTCTGAAGATACTTTTTTGGTCATCAACTTTGAGAGAGATTCCTGGGAAAATTGGATCTAGTTGGTTCTTTTGGAAGGTCGTGATTGAAAATTCTCAGTACTTTTTAAAACGGTTTATAAATTATCTTGGAATTCAAATTTAACACATGTACATCAATTACGGTGCCTAATCAATCACGATGAGGTACACTGACGAGTGACGACTGACACCTTCTGGCTTCTGCACAGCAGATACCTATACTTGGTGGTTTTTTTTATTTGAAACCATCAGGCCGTAGCTAGATGGCAAGATACATAGATTTCATCCACATCGTATTCTAAACATTCATACTACACATATCACATTATGTTAATATGGGCCGCTAATAATAAATAATAAAATTAAAATATTTAAAACGGGTAGCGTGTCTAATAAGGATAAGGACCGTTTTTATCTATGAATTTATAATACGATGAAATACTAAAGTATCATTTCAATCGGTTGTTTCATTTTTAGAGCTCGGACCCGTGTAACATATCCACTTGCTACAAGAGTGGCACGACGAAGCCGCCGATGAATGTGACGCCCACTCGCCTGCCGGTTCAGTCGTCGTCCACCCCGACCAGCCACCCACAGACCACTTACGCCAAGGACCATGCGCACGGTTCGACCACCGTCAAGTCCGGTGCCAATGCTACGGCCACGACAGCCAGCGGAGCGTCCGTCAACGGTACAGAGCGGCCAGCCGTCGCCAAGTCTTCGGCCGGAGTAACCGGAAACTCTACCACACCAAAGCCTACGGTACGTATAATGGTCACTATACATTATTATCTAAGTTAAAACCGAATCAACCCAACCATCCAAAAATATGAGTTGCTATAGACAAGAACACACCATGTAATATTTATATACCTACTCCATTAGGGCCCAGGGGCCTCAGTATAAACTCGTCGATACCCGTATAAATACATATGTATTTTGTTGTATGTGCTATTGTGCAAAAACTAAATAATATGTATAAAATATAAATATAATGTTCGAATAACAAAAAAGCGGGTAAGTGGATGTCACTCTGCTGTACGTTAGGTATCTAAGAGGTCGTTGTAATAGATGGTATTAAATTTGAATTCAATGGTAACAAATCATTGTATACGAAAAATGATTCTGCGCGGAGGCGGTATGTCAGTTTAGGATATTTTATATTGTTATTACCTATTATTAATATGGTAGCCGGTAAGTTGAATCAATATTATTCTTAAATTATCAGATGCTGGAAAAATTATAAATATATACCTATGTAAAATTGGGCTGTTTTGGGACTGAATTACAACAAAATGATAACCATCATTCTTTGTGTTAATACGCAATTTTTTCCAAATTTGAACTTAAAATGTCTGTAAAAGATAACTGTATTCATGTATTTTTTAGATTTATTAGTTATGGAAAAAACTGCTTAAGTGGAACCTTGTTTTAAATTTTCAATCCTTAGCTATAAAAATTGAACATTTCATACATTTTTAACTACAAAATCATTTTCTATTTTCAACTTGATAAATATTGTCAAAATTAGAACTTTAAATGCTTATAAAAAAATGGGCCCATGTATTTTTAATATTTTTCAACTGCTATTTTAACAAGTTATCAAGAGTCTTGTACCTATTAATTTTTCATGCTTTTCGACCAAACGAATACAATTTTATTGATAAAATTTAAAATGTCCGTCAACAGCCTAAAACGAGTCAGAATATTTTGAAAATGTTATCAAATATATAGAAAAAGTATAAGAACTGACGAAAGAAACATTTGGTGTAAATTTCAAGTGTCTTCGGTGATTCGTTTTTGAATTACAACAAAATAAGAAAATTGCTACAAGAGAAATCGAGTGAATACCCAACGTTGTAAAAATTTCAACTTAAAACGCTCATAAAAATTTAATTTGACTTTCCAATAGATATTTTTTTTTTGATAAAGGTAGACAAACTTGTAGGGAATTTCGCACTAATTTTTTTAATCTTAGATATAAATAGAAATTTTTTTATGAATTTCTAACTAAATATAATTTGTTTATTTTCATGATTTTTACGAATTTTGTCAAAATTCTAAGTTTGGATAATCTTAAAAAAATATTGTGGATGTACGCTCAACTTTTTTTAAAATTTCTATTAACAGCTTACAAGGAACCTTGTATTAAATTTTTAAGTTTTATGCCCGAGTGAAAAATTTTAAGGACTAGGGTTTAAAAAAAATAAACAGTAATTAAAAATTGAATTTGCCTATAAATACTTCAATACAAATCAAAATATTTTGAAAAATATATGTTGTATAGAAAATTCTTACACAAATATTCAGTGAAAATTTCATGTATTTACGGTCATTTCTGATAGATTTACATTAAAAATCAAAATCGATTTTTTCGAAAAATGGTTCTGCTTAAAAATTCCCGTTTTTCCTGTTGCTTTTGAGAACTATTGGGAATTTAAATTTTGACCTCCCGAATGCACCAACTAGATTCACTTTCCTACCAGAAACGCTGCTTTTTAAGAAAATCGAAGAAAAGCCACAAAAATAAAACTTAATGTAAAAACACACATCATTGTAAAATCAATACATTCATCTACCGTCTACGTTTATATACATATCTTTGTAACGTAATAAATTTGATTTGTTCTATTTTTAAACAATGAGTGTTAATTAATGTGAATGTCTAAAATATCATTTTCTCTTACATCAACATTGATAAACAGTATAAACTATAAAGTAAGCAAGTAAAATAATATCATTCACCTATTCTTACTCTATGCCATAAGGTATTGTTTAAAATGTTATCAGGTGTTATTATTTTTATTTTACTTTTCCTATAGGCTACTGTGACAATGGCTTTTTGCTAATTGTGATTTAATGTATCAAATAATATATATGATAATTATTAATTGTGTCTAAACGAAATGTTTAAAGTAGGACTTCAAAAAGAAATGGATCCAGATTTGTTAAGTAAATGTGCCAACGATAAAACTCAAAAGAAGTTAAATATTTTTTATATATTATATTTAGGCGTTAGTTACATGTGGCCCCAATAAATATTTCCTGGTAAAAAAAGTACCTATCCGCCCATGGCAGTAGGTACCAACTACTAGACTAGGAATCATTTTCAAAACTAATGTAGATTCCTAGGCAACCTACGTATACATGTTATGATGACAGTTGCAGCAGATATCTTGTATTAAAATATTTAACAACGTTATACTAATACATAGACATACGGCAACATGTGGGTCAGTATAGGTACCTAATTCTGTAACAGGTATATATTAGCTTGGTCATCTCCAAATGTCTTTCGAGTTCCTCTTAGACTGATTTTAATAATTTAGTTTTTGAATATTTTATTAATAAATAGTAAGCAATACAAAATGAATTATTTTTCATTAACACCAACTGAAATTTTTTTTTTATATCATAATTATATAATAAGAAGAAAAATCTAGGGCCAATCCCTACTATGCAGGACTATTCAATTGACAATTAGGGATGTGAATTAAATGCAGTATATGTAGGCTAAATAAAAATAAATAAATATACCTATTTGCAAGTGTAAAACATTTGGGTAGGTAGGTATCCATTCAATTATTAATCAAGTAAGAGTAATACGTCATGCGTCGTGCACTCGGAGGTACAAAACATGTAAATTAAACAATAATTCATTATGTGTAGTTCTAATTTACGTAAATGATTGAATATATAGAAAAAATTTCATTTCAAAATTGAATTCATTAGCACCTCATTAAAAATTCTGTTAAGAAAGCTGTTATAGTAAGTTTAAATGTAATGAATTTTCTACAAATGCATAGCTCTAGCGGTATTGAATATTGATATAGGTGTTAATAAAACAAAATTGAATATCATCGAGTTATTTGTTTTAAAATTGTATTTACCAAGTCTTAAATGTTAGCCAGGGGGGCTAAATGCTAATAATTGTACCAGAACTTTGACTACGCTATATACACTCAATTAAAATGAATAGTATGTATGTTTATATATTTAGCTTAAAGGGTTTGAGCATTTTTTTTTATGTTATCCACGGTGCCACGCGATCTTATGATGATATTCTATTTATTCACCACGTTATATTTATTTACGCAGATGACCGAAGGACATGTGGCTCTGAAACAGAAGTTGAACACAATCGCGGTTAAGTGCAAGGACGAGTTGCACGCCCCCCAGGAGATCATGGCACTGGTCAGCAACACGGTGGTCCCACAGAACGAGCAGCAAAGGTGTTACTTAGAGTGTGTGTACAAAAATCTAAACTTGATCAAGAATAACAAGTTCAGCGTTGACGACGGCAAGGCGATGGCTAGGATACGCTTCGCTAACCAACCGGAAGAGCACAAGAAGGCGGTGACCATAATAGAGACTTGCGAAAAAGAAGGTTGGTTCACGACTAACAATCAACTGAAAACTCGTGAATCGCGAGAAGACAAATACACAAATGTAGTTTCGGGATGATAATCGTTTTTGTTTTATTCTTCTAGCTGTTATCGATCCGAAAACCACTGAAAAATGCGCAGCTGGACGAGTGATCAGAAACTGCTTTGTTAAAAACGGAGAAAAAGTGAGTTTCTTTTGTTTTAAATTTTGAAAAAATATAATATGTTTTTATATTTATAATCTTTATACTTACCATTTAGATAAATTTCTTCCCTAAAGCATAAGGCTTGTTATGTGGATGGAAAATGGAAAGTATGAGTTTGAAAATTTCAACCAAACATGGATATACTAAAAATACCTATATTATGTAATAATAAATTATTTAAGTTATGATTTTTACGAATAAAACACAAAAAAAACATAATAAAGTATTTATTTTATTTGCATTCACCATAAAAATATTTTGATTTAGAACATGTTAAAAACTAAACAAAATGTCAAAAATAATATACTACTAGTATGTACACATTAAAATTATAGATTTCAGTTAAACAAATATCCAATTAAATAAAAATTAGTAAGTATGTATTATAAATCACAGTCTAGCGTGGAATTATTTTTATACAGAAATGAAATTAATCAACTTCACTCATGTAAAAAAAGAAATTATTAGTACAAAAGTGTAAAACATTTTTTTTGTATAGGCATAAAAAATTAAAGAACTATGGTAAATTTTAATTTTCCTTAGCATATACTTCATACATGTGTAGTAGAATTGAATGATAGTTTAAGCATTTAATTTCTTAAGGTACAATAAGACTAAAGAATTAAGACTTATGAGGTTTTAAAATAGTACAAAATAATGTTGTATACAAAAAACGTATTAATGCCAAGTCTTATTAAATGCAATTATTTTGTTATATTAAACTTTATACAATTGACACAATAACAACTATAATAAAGAAATTGAATTTTAAACCAATCTAAATTTAATACTAAGTCTAGTTACAGTTTTTTTTAATAGTTACATACAAAATAGGGATTTCATAAAATTGAAATCTTAAAATAATTGTTACTTTTAGGGTTTGGTGTGTGTTTTTATCCAGTCATGTAGTAACACATCTTTCAGTGGTAAACGAGTCTCTGGTTTCACTCTCAATAACTAAGCCACAATAAATCATATTATTGATTATTATAATATACGGAATGAAAAATGATGTTTAAAAATACTTACACGTGATATGAGATCTCGGGCAAGTGGAGCAACATGTTGCGGGAAAATATATTGAGCATTTAATATCCGTTTATATGTCTCTTCATATGTTGAAGCTTCAAATGGTGGTTTGCCAACTAAAATCTCATATAATAATACACCTACACTCCAAACATCAACTGACTTGTCATGAGAGTTTCCGCTCACCATTTCTGGTGGCAAATAGTCTAAGGTTCCACACAATGTCATACGCCTGAAAAATTAAATAATTTTTAATTTATAAGGGCATAATTATAAAAGATAACATTGACATCAAAGTGGATTTTTTGAAAATTACTTTGAATCCCGTGTATGTACGGACCACCCGAAATCAGCAATTTTCAAGTCACCTCCTTTGGTAAGTAAAAGATTCTCTGGTTTTATATCACGATGTATAATATTTTTATCATGACAGTATATCAGCGCTTCGGTTAATTGCTTAATATAAAGTGCTGCCCTATTGAACACAATAGTAGTACATATTAATTTTTTTATTTCAGTTAAATAAGTTATAATTAGTTTTAAAATGATTAAAATCACTAAATGCATGATTTAATAAAACAATAAGACATTTTTCCTTCTCAATTATAATTCCTCTATAAATGTTCATAAGAAGTGTAAATAAATTATTTTAAGTTAGAAGAAATTGATTATTTATACAAATACATTTAATAATTTAAATATCACATGGTTTGTATTAATATTTACCTTTCTTCAGAGAAACGTTGATTTTCTTGAGCTTGTAATTCTTTGTACAGCTGTTTGGGTGCATATTCTAGGATCATATATACTCTAGCATCATCATGGAAATATCCAAACATACGCACAATATTTGGGTGCCTGAAAAGTATTAATTTGTGTTACATATAGAACTTTCTTCTTCTTTTTTTTTTAAATTTATATACCTTAAATGTGTTTGGATTTCAATTTCTCTTTTGAGCTGATGCTCAACATTTGCTTTTAATATTTGCGTTTTAAATAAAACTTTAAGAGCAACAATAAATCCAGAACTCTTTTCTCTGGCAAGATACACGTTTCCAAATTTTCCTTTACCTAATGCTTTACCAATATCAAAATTTTCCAAAGTCCATTTCATTCTGTTTAAATACACAACCACTATTAGGTATTTACTGATAATTTATTTAAAATTTAATCAATTTATTATGTAATTATGTTAAACTTACTCATTTTTTTTATCTGTTAGACCCATGTTTTTATTGTTTTGTTGATCAGTACAAGGTTTTTCTTCAAGGGTAGCTGCCTTCAAATTGTTCTGGAGTTGATTGACTGTTGTGGGTGGCTTGGCCACTTGAGTAGCTTTTTTTGGAATATTGGCAATAGTTGGAATTTTAAATATTTCTTTGGGGGGAACCCTGAAAATAAAAGGTAATATATTTTAAAAAGTGGATATGTTATAGAATTATTTATTCACTTATTACGGCACAATAAAAGGTTTATATAAGAAATTTAAAAAAAGATCTATCGATAAATCCTTGTAATTGAATAATATTCAGTGAAATTATTTAAGAGCACAGTAGAGGTCTTACCTACTTATTTGACATATACAATTCCAAAAGTTGTAGATAAAAAAAAATTATAGTAAGTAATGATTAAATTAAAGTTTTAAATATGGGTAGAAATTAGGATAGCGCATTAATATGGTTGAAATGTTATTGAACAATTTTCTAAGAATAAAATACATTAGTATAGTTTGTTTATGAATAATGCATAGGCAATTTAGCAACAAACTGTTCTACTTCATCTCGATACTCATAAATTGTAGTATAAAATATCATAATAGTATGAATAATAATTAATCTAATCTTAAAATATTGTAATCCAAACAAATATTAAGTTTGTGCAGCGTACTAGGTAGTTATTATTGTTATTTTAAATTTTAACAATGTTATTACATTTTAAAAGTCTATAAAAAGAATTGGTAGGTAATAAGGGAATTTCAAGATTATTTAAATATTATTTATTGCTTAACCTTTAAGACTCAATGGTTTAAAGATTACATTATTTATTATCATCATAAATAATGTTTATTGTCATACTATATTCCAGTATCACAAAAGTGTTTCAGGATGATAATAATAATTATTTATTTATTTACTAATGGCACATTGTTCTTGATTTAAACTTTAATAATTTATGTCAATGTTTGGTCTTTTAACATTTTTATTAGGCAGAAAAACAATATTGTTTTAATAAATGATAAAATAATCAAGTTGAATTGTCTGACAAAATATATTTTTAAATAAGCACCTAAGTATTAAGAAGAATTTAATTTTTTAATCACTGGTATTCGGAAAAACAGTCCCAATATCTAAATACGTTAAAAAAAAGCCCCTTACCAACTAAAAATATATAACACTTTTTCATTAAAGTATACATTTCATCATTTTTAAACAATATATTATTATTTATCTATAGCCATACATTTATAATATATAATTTTTATATACTCTCGCACCATAATAAAATAAAATAATAAACCCAATATTTTAAACTATTTTGGTATAAACATACATTTGAAATAGAAGAGATCAAAGTATATAGTAACAAAAGTAATTGACATTTGACTTTATCTTAAAAATGATGAAGTCATTATATTTTAATGTAAACTCTATCTAAGTATTTACAACATTTTATTACTAAAAATGTGGTTTTATCGTTCATGTAGTTATTGTTGTGATTATTTTTAATTAAAAGTATGTACCTATACCCACATGTTATATATGATATTCCCTTCAGTACGCATTTTTCGTTCATCTAGGTATTATCGTGCAACGTTTTGATAATTTTGAATTAATTGTGCAAATATTTAATGGAAGTTATTCAAAATAATAATAAAAACCTCAAATTGCATACGGTGGATATTTTAGAAAATTTAAAAAGAATGCACAACTATGTTTCTTTGGAGATGTACTAAATCAAGTTTAATGAATAAATATTGTCCTTGTATTTTAAAAACCGATTTGAACGTAGAAAGTCAAACTTTACTTTCTATTGAACACGATCACTTACACGAGGCAAATGAAAACATGCTTTTTGCAGTGAAAATTCAAAAAATTATGAAAGTAAAAGCCAAAAAACCAACAACGCACCTCGTCAAATTTTTTCATGTACAATACTAAGAGTGTATTAGCCGAATTGCAGAGGGAAGATAACTTAAAAAAACTATTCGTAATCATAGAGGGTATAAAAATCCACCAAAACCGAGATGTCTATCAGAAATAAATATTGAAGGTAAATTAAAATTTTTTTGGATACAATTCCTATCTTTTACAATGTTACGCATTTGTACATTTTTAAAACATACACATATGGATACTTAATTAATTAAAAATTTAATAGGTGAATATAAAGAATATGGCCAAGAAAGATTTTTACTTTACGATAACAGCCCAAATACCTGCAGTGAAAGGATTATTATGTTTGTCACCAACATAGGATTGTGCTTACTAGCTGAGTCGGATACATGGTTTAGCGATGGAAACTTTGGCCTTGCTCCTACATTTTTTAAACAATTTTATGTGTTACATGAACAAAAAAATCAGTGTTTGTTACAGTTGTTTATTGTATTCTTGAGCGCAAGACTCAAGTTACTTATGAGGAAATGTTTAATATTATAATAAATGAATGTAAAACACGCGATTTGTATTTAGTTCCATCCAAGCTATTTACACTTGGATTTTGAATTAGCTGTAATAAATGCCGCTAAAAATATTTTAGGAAACCATATTACAACCTATGTTTTTATCATTTATGCCAGTCGACTCATAAACAATAACAAAAACTAGGTTTGGAAACTATTTACAAAGAAGAGTGACTTTAGAAAGAATTGTGGTATGATTGAAAGCCGGGTTGATAGCTTAGTTTTTCTGCCTTTGGATAAAAGTGATGGATGGAATGACATGCTTGAAAGAAAATATACCACCTCACGCAGAAGACTTTTTGTTTTATTTTTATTTTTATTATGTAAATGGAATTGACATTAAACAGTGGACATCGCACCAACAATACCACAGAGGGTTGGAATAACAGTTTTTTAATTCTCTGTGGTCAAAAGCATCCTACAATTTGGAATTTTATAAAAAAAATGAAAATGGAAGTAGCTGCAGACCAAAAAAAATTGGGGTTACGTAATGTAGGAGATTATAGAAGTACAAAACTTGGTGCTAAGCAAATAGTTGAAAGCCACTTAAAAAACTTATGTATACAAATTAAAAATAATGATATAATTAGATTTAAATTTATTTTTTATATAATAAGATTTTCTAATGGCAGTTAGCCACAACATAAGGAATCAATGCTACTAAATCATTTTTAAAATTTTTTAACTTCAAACATTTTTTTAATTATATACAAATGACAAAAGACAATTATTGCAGATTCCAACTATACTTGTATATTTTATAATAAGAGTAATGTATGTTAAGGAATGTTATTTATGGAATGATTTTGTACTGTGATATAAATAATTACTGTTTAATGTCATATACAAAATATAATTCTTTTAATCAAATAAATGGACCACCTAGTACCTATATTAAATTAGATGCATAATAATATAATAATTAATGAAATAAATGTAATGATTATTTCGATTATATGTAATCATGCAAATTAAAAAAATAGAATTATGTACCTATTTAGTATGGGGCTTTTTATATTGTATTTTGATATTGGGGCTTTTTTTCCTAGATTCCAATCATCTCACCTTGACTGTGCCGCTTGTTCGCACGGCTGTGATGGTGGTTTCTGTACAGTTTTGGTGGGCAGATTTTTAGTGATGTCCGGCTTGCAACCGCGGTTGGACAGCTGTTGGCCGCCAAACTTAGGAGGGTGTAGTAGATCCGGTGTCTTGCCAATAGTTGTGGACACTGATCGACGGTACTGCGCACCATTCGGTTTAGCAGCCGCCACCGTGGTCGTTCCGAAACCCACTGTACGACGGGGCACAGATGACGTCGTATTGGTATTAGGTGCCACAGTGGTTACTGGAGGCGGCCGCGGTCTCTGTAATCTGTTTTCTTTTGACTTCAGTGCGAAAGTACTCATGTTAGATGAAAACTAAAAACAAAACGGAGGGGAAGATGTGATATTGTAAAAGGATTTCAGGATATCAAAGAATGCTCGTATTCAAATTGTTGATACATCCACTCAAGTAGAATCTATAGAAATACCTAGAACTATAGGAGTTAGAAATATTCAATTACAGAATACTTGCTTAAGACTATAATGTAAACTTTTCCATGTATAAATAAGCAGAATATTGAAATACCAAAGTGAAAAACTACGAGATGAGAATTCAACAGCCGACGACGGTTATTTTTGAAAAAAGTAGTTATTAGTTAACAATCGCCATCTGGAATAAAATCACCTGCCAGACGGCAGAACACAGTGCATACGCAGAAGACGGACCTTCTTTGTATCGCAGAAATCAGTGCGGCAAACTGACATTGGTCATTCGAATTTATCCATTATTTACGGTTGTAAAATAATACGTGGATTAAATGATGAATAAGTGAAGAATAATAATCATAGATAATAAAAGATGTATAAATATTAACTATGTAAATAATGATCGAAAATTATAAGGTATAATAATATATTTTGTGTGAAACGATTGACAGGACGTGAAGGCTGGGTCGACTGTTTCCTCAATAATTTTTCTCAAAGCAACCAGCTTGTATTTTAATCGAAAACGGTGTCTTTGTTGATCTGGTGACACTGTAATCGTCGTAACGTACTTTTTTTAAGTTTCCGAAAAACTCGCAAACTCTTAACTTATTCGAATGCTGAATGCCGATTTGGGGAATTGGGGATGACGATTTGTTCAGTTTAACCATTATACCATTATCGGATTAAACTATAATATTGTTACATTATAGCCAGTTCAACCTTAGATCTAACTCTATTCAGATTTTAGTTACGGTGATCTGTCTTCCGTCGTTTTGATCCACTCCTGTGCGTTGCGTTCAATATATTTAAATAATCGAAAAATGGACGAAATTAGTTCGTTTGTGCCCATGACGCCGCCCAATAATTTTGTCAAAGAACTGCGGGGAGTATTGGATCAACAGAACATATTTTCGGCCAAGACGAAACAAAAGGGTAATAGCGAAATAACCGTCCATTAATTGTATGTTTACTAATCGTTTTGTTGTCGTGTAATAGTACTACGGGACTTGGACCAACATATTTGTGATGATACTGAGAAACGCATAGCAAAATTGAGGATTCGATCCATTCAAGAGATATGTGTCTCTGAAACAAATTATATTCACCAGTTAGACAAATTGATCACAGTAAGTTGCTTGTTATTTATGCCTGCATTTCTACTTAATATTCAACCGTCTGGTTACAGTATTTCAAACGCCCAATTGAAGAACAGAAACTTGCTTCAAGTCAAGTCATTGGTAAATTGTTTGGCAATGTTGAGACAATACTGAACGTGAATAAAGAACTGTTGGTTCAATTACACCCGGCCAAAGAGAATATTGGTAAAGTTTTCTTAAACACTGCTCCATTTCTTAAACTTTATTCAGTTTATGCATTCAATTACAAGAATGTATTGGATACACTTCAAGTAAAAATATTTTTTTATTGTTTAATTGATATTTGAAAACTAATAGTAAATAGTATTTATTTTAGGATTTACCAAAATCTCATCCAAAACTTTATCGATTTGTATGCACACAAGAATCAAGGCCAGATGTATCTGCTAAATTGAATTCACTCTTGATAACCCCCATTCAAAGAATACCTCGTTATCTGTTGCTTTTACGTGAACTCCAGAATTATACTCCTACTGAACATCAAGGTTATAATGATATTAAAGGTATAAAATTACCATCATCAAAAGATTCATATTATTTTATTAAGTTTAGACTTAAATATTGTTACATAGTTTTGAAACTTATTTATTTTTTCATTTTAAGCTGCCGTGGAACAAATAAGTAAAGTTGCAGACCATATCAATAATTTAGTTCAAGAACAAGAAAACATGTCCAGATTAGTTAGTATTCAACGTAGTCTTTCTGGTTGTGGCAAAGTGAACATTGTACTACCAGGACGTAAATTAATTAAAGAAGGGCCACTTATGAAAGTGTCACCCGAGGGTAGTACGTCTATTCCCCGTTACTTGATATTGCTTAGTGACATGATACTATATTGTAAAGAGTGGGTTGATCCGGAAAAGTTGGTTTGTCTCAGAGTATTGCCACTCAATAAGTGTGAAGCTAAATCTGTCATGTACAAAAGAGGACTGTTTTCAATAAATTGTCAGTCTGTGGAATTTGTATTTTACACAATGGATGCACCTCATGCCACATGTTCTTGGGTAGAAATGCTCCAGCAATCTATTGACAAGGTCTGTTAATGATATGCTATATTGATTAGGTATTAACTATGTTTTTGTACAACTAATTTTATTTCAGTGCAAAGCCAACTCTTTGATGCCAGTAAAGAGATGTGGTCCTTTGAAATTAGTCAAAAGAAAAAAAGAAAATAATTCAAATAGAAACGATGAAAATTGTTATTCAAGTCCGACTAAAAAAATGAAATCGGTAGATAGTTTTAGAGTTATATTAAATATTCAAGATTATTTTTAAAATTTTAATAATTTATAATCTGCAGTATACTTATTAATATTTTTTTGTAGGATTCAACAATTGTTAGGTCCAATCAAAATATGTCATATATGGCTTCAGCAAGAAATCTTGTATTCAGTTTTGGATCAACATTAAAAAAATTAGTGGGAAGAAATTCAGTATAAAAAATCAAAATCCACTCCATCAATTTCAGATCTCAGTTATGTTGTCCATTTTTGTTTAGATTGAGTTTGTAACCATTAACGAATTATGTTTGAACAATATCTTTTGTGGTAGTGCTACCTAATGCAGTAACATATATTACTTAATAGTTAAATTTGTAATACCATGATTATTTTTTAATTTGAATATTTTTCACATTTATATAAGTTTGTATTGTAAGTAGGTATAACAATTATTTTTATTACTTAATTTATTTTTATTAGAAACATGTGTCTAGTTATTAGTTTATAATTATTTTTGAACAACACTTAAATACCAAGTATTATAAAAATAAAAATCATAACATATTATGTTAATGGCTTATGATTAACATTTTCCATGTGGAATCAAATAAACGATAACTTACATTCAATTACAAATAAATCAAATTTCTTTATTTCAGTCATATCTTAGACAATTCATAAATTCTAAAATAACAGTCTCGTCGAGTTCATTTTGCCACCTGTTAACAAAAGTTACTGTCAAGTATTATTTAGATATCATTATTGATGAGCTTTGTAGTAACTAAAGAATATTATGAGAATATCATACATGCCATGTTTCTTGAAGTGAGATCCAATTATGAATCCGTCCACACCTCTGTACTCGTGTACATTGTTTACAGTTACACCAGATCCAACAAGTACTGGAACATCCACAGAAATTTTAACTTCTATAAAACACAGTGAATTTAATATGTGCACCGTGTTCTGTTTGTGCAAAAATTAAATAAATAATAATTGCATACCAGTAACCTCGTGTGGTTTGGCAGGTTGTCCTGTTGCAGTTCCAGTCACTATAATTCCATCAGACAGAAAAAATTCTGCTGCTTTGGCAGTTTCGATAAGACTTACATCTTGAGTAATGGCATGTGAACTAAGAGTTAAGATAAGAACTAAATAATATAATTTGTCCAACCAAAAGATAAAAAGACCCTGGTATTTTACATGTTGGAGATATTTAATTTAGTTAAATAAATGTGATAATATACTTCATTCAAATAAATTACCTGTGTTTTTTTTTAATATCTGTAAAGATACAAACATCTTGTGCTCCTATTGACTTGCGATACCTCAATAACTTACCGGCACATGCATCCATGTAACCTTCATCCGCGACATGGCCAAATACAAAACCTTCAGCTCTAATGAACTGGAATTCTGTTGCATGTGCAACAGCAATTGCTTCTTCATTGGCTGCAGCCAATATCTAAGGTTATTATCGACAAATCAGTACATGCTGTACAAACAACAATAATTCCAACCCACTTGTAGACCACAAGGTATATGTTCAGGTACCAATTGTCTAACTGCTGTACAAACTCTAGTCATCGACGACACAATTTCTGGACCTATTTCTTTAGCAGGCACATAGGGTATGTCATGCATATTTTCAATGACAATTCCGTCCTACAGTTTATGATAATTTATAGTTCTAAGCAGTGGCAGGCTGAACTGCTGAAGTGCTCAATTTTGAAGTAGCTGTGTCAACTTTTCAAGAGGGTGGTGTCACTTTATGACTGAAAACAGAATTAAATGCAAAGGCCTCATCTCTTTGAGCTTTCGGCCACATTTTTTTACATCATAACTTTGTTCTAAGGATAAATAGGTGGAGGGGTAGTGGTGGTGGTGAGTAATTAATTATGAAAATACGATATTTGGATTTTTAAGTTCAGTCTGCCACTGGTTATAAGTTAATAACATTATTGTATCATTTCTATCGAGCACTGTTTTAAGTATTACAGTTGAATGCTTACTACTCCACATTTCATATATGTTTCAGCCTCTTTGCAGGCAGTGTATATTATTTGTTTAATGCTTCTATCATTCAAAGGTGTGCCTGAACATCAGTACAAAAAGTTGTAGTTTAAAATACATGAATCAAATTTTATCTTATGCCAATAGTTAATTGTATCTGTCGTTGAATACTTATACACTCTTACCTGGTAATGGTTTAACATGAATCATCCCAAAGACATTATTCAATTTGGCTTTGAAAATATTTTGAATGGTATTCATCATAAAATAAATAATTGTTTCACATAAAAAAGTGTCTCCTATTAAATATCAGCTATAAGAATTCCCTAATTATCATTCACAATTTCACTGTTGTGAAAGTATAAGCTGTTAGGTAATCACTATACCCCAGACGTTTTATTGTTGAAAAACACTTATCACTTAGATAAGTCATATTTGACAGTTGTTCTTGTTCATGAATTATTAACATTGAAGTCATGAAATCTAACTTCTTGCCTTTTGACCTTTGTTGGATGGTGCAACATAATATTTTTTAATACATTTTCCTATGCACTGTAACAATCGGAACAATAAGAAGCACCAATTTATTTGAATTTATACATTTTTATTGTTAGTGAGATCATACCATTCAACTTTTGAATAAATTCAAAAGTAATTTTGCAAAATGATTTCACGGAGTCAAATATAATAAGGTTGAAGTATTACTTTTCTGTTATAGAGGTATCAATAAGATAGACAATGATTTTTATTGTTGTATACTATATAATAATATTATATTATATATATTTATTAGAATTAAATTTCATTATAATAAGGAAAATAATAGGACCTAAATGTTGAAACACAAACAATCTTGTAAAGAAACTAAGATAAATAATATTTTTGTTTTTATAACAATAATTGTATACTTAATTGACTTAACGTATAATATTATAAACCTGTATAGGTACATAATACGTATATTGTATATATAATCTTTTTCTTTATTTTTCATTTTTAAATAACTTTTAGAAGATAAAGGCAAAAAGACTAGAGATTGATTAAGGGGATAAAAATGAAAAATGGAAAGAATTATTATGGATTTGTCAATAATATATATTATATATTTTTCTAGATTACCTTAAAATGTAAATAGGTTTGTATGATTAACAATAAATAGGTAGATTGCTTTCAATTTTTTTTTTAATAATTGTCTAAATATTATTTATCCACAGCCTATATGTACACATCAATATTATATACAATAAAGCAATATAGATCCTCATTTGACAACATTTTGTCTATTTATAATATTGATATAAGACCATAATGTACATAATGATATATCCTATTGAGGTTCTTGAAAATTAACAATACATTTTTAAATAATCATATTTAATTTTTGATTTACTTTACAATACTTGACATAAAATGTTGACACCAAATTAGTTTTATTAACAGATGTATATAAATTCTGATTAATGTTTGAAATTATTTAGTTTGTTTCAAAAGAATCTTAAACAAAAAAGTATGGGAAATTATTCAATTTAAAACGGAAGAGAGAAAGAACATCTGAGGCACAAAACTGGAAGTATCAAAATATTGATGAATGCACATAAAAAAGAATGTAAAATAAATGCTAATAGAATTATTCATTCGAGTTGGAAGTCATAATTAAAGCATGAATTGTACTTAATAATAATTCAAAATTATTTGCGCGTATATTTAAAGCGCTTTAAACATTTGAGCCAAACTATATATTTTATTTTTATATCAGTATAATAAATAATAATATCTAAACTACTTTTAATACTATACAAATATTGAATACTTAGATATTATCTTAACTAATTTAAAAAAAAAAATGAATTAAATAATTGCATCAAGCTTAAGAAGAAAACATTTATGGACAGGGTTTGGTTGGGAAAATATAGTCACACTATGTAGAATAAACATTAAGAACAATATTTTATAACGCTAAACAAGAACAATATCATAACGCAATGGAGCGTTGTACATAATTCTCAAAAAAAAAAAATGCATGCAAAATTAAACAACAATTTTTTTAAGTTGTCTTCTCACTAAGTCAGCAACATACACAAAGACGAAAATGGTTTAAAAATAGATTAAATGTTAAAATTAATATACAATATAAATTTATGGTACACTCTAGGATAATGTGATGAGTCTATAAGAGAATCATCTTACATCTTTCTCATTTCCCCCGTCTTATACATACAGTTCAAACAAAAATAAATAAAGTTTGTAATAATTTAAAATTAATTAAAATTATGGGTATAATAAATTTGAATACAACCCTCTAATTGTTTAAATTAACTTGTATCCCAAATAAACATTTTAAGGATATTTTTAAGTTGTTTTACTAATTAGAGATTACTGATTATCATATAAATTTGTAGGTATGCTTAAAGAGACATCACGCAAGGTTTAAGCACATGTCATCACAAAACAAATATCAATATTTGATAAAAATAAATTAAACTCTCATCACTTGTCATTTTTTTTACAGAACAAGCACGAAAACACTAAATTTCTGTTTCAAATCATATATACTGTAGATTTAATTGATTGAAACTTCAACAATTTTAGTTTTTACTGCTATGTTTGTCAGGAAAAAAAAATATAAATAACTTTATTGCAATTACAACTATAAAGTAATTTCATACTCCGAGTCATACTCAATATTTATCAACTTTTGAAAATTAAAATAATTTTAATAATAAGACCAAAAATACCAAATGGTAAATTTAGTTACTTTAAATTTATATATTATTTAGAGGAGGAGATAATGAACTAATGTTTATAATGCATTTATGTTTATTGCTGATTATAAATGATTTTTTTATTAGGTATTTGTTTATAATCAATACTATGATGTTTGGTTCAAGTTAAAAGTTTTTCTTATTCAAAATATCGATTATGTATTGAAATAAATAGGATGTCCATTTTTCCATAGGGGACAAATTATGACAACTTGCATCGCAATAATGGTAATTAGCTGTAAGCCCAACATAGAAATTAATGAAATATTCCTTTGGTTACATAAGTTATAAATCTAAATTCTGATAATCTAAAATATAACATACAAGAGTAAAGGTGATCCACAGAAATGTCTTAAAACACTATAAAAGAAATAACAAAATACAAGAAGCACATAATATTGACAGCGTTTTCAAATGACACGCTGGGAACTATTTACAATGATATTAAGTAATCTTTAAACCTTTAAGTGATAAATAATAAGTAATAATATAAATATACATACATTTTGGCAAGAATTTTTTCTAAATACCAGAGATGATGAGTTGCTTTTAAAATGCCTGCAACTATTATGGTATGTAATACTCTGGATGGTCAGAATCTTTTTCAAACCTTTTTGCTTCTTCCTGCATACTTTCTTTAATTTTCAATATTGCCGCAGATTCATTTTGATCATTGTCCACAGGTCCACCATATCCTCCTAGGTTATAATCACCCATACCACTACCACTATCATCTCTTGGTGTACTTGGCCCATCAGGCGGAGATCGTTTTATTCCTTCAATACCATCACCATTCATTACAGGGCCCATTGAATTTGGTCCCATAGGACCTAATGGTCCCGCAGAATCAGGATTTCCCATCGAAAATTCACCTGGCATACTACCACCAGGTACAGATTTCATCATTGTGTACATATTTTCACCACCAGAGTTTGAATCCTGAGGACTTGCCATTAATGGTGTACCAGGACCGGGAGGGCCTTGAGGGTAATTTCCAGGTGACGAAGATGTATAACCCATTGGATGATTTGGATTACCTGGTGTCCATTGCGGTCGACCAACTGGACCCATGCCCATACCAGGATGCATTCCAGGGCCAGGGCCGGGACCCATAACATTACCAGGAGGCATACCCCGCATTGGAGGACCATAACCACCCCGTGATAGATTCATTCTAGGATTCATTACTGGCGGCCCTGGACGCATAATATCCATATTATTCATCATTGGTTGGTTTGGGCTATTAAAATCATTAGGCATATGAGGTGGCATTCTTACACCAGGCCGAGGTCCACCAGGATACCTAGGGCCCATGAAAGGCTGGTTCATCATTTGATTGTGGGGAGCATTGGGTGGCGGGTGAGGGCTTGATTGTGATACAGGATGAGTGGGTGACGGTCTCATGTTTGAGTTGTTGAAAAAGCTTGGCGGCATTCCGGGTCCTGGAGGAATTGAATCGTTGGGCGGCATCGGGCCCATCGGTCCAGGGGACGGTCCAGTATTGTGTCCAATGCCATTGACGCCACCGGGATTGTAATTGGTCGGATTAACGAAACCATAGTCGTGGAATGTTTTGGCTTCACTGGAATGTTCGCAGTTGTCGCGGCGTTCAGGCGCCGCACAGTATAGATCCCAAAATACGCACCACCAAGAGCTGAGGAACCCGGGTGGCTCACCTAGTGTGATGTTTTTGTCCCAGCGAATCTCGCTGAGGAACGTTTGCGCCGCTTTGGAGGCGCCTGTGTGCAATAGGTATTCGTAAACATAAAGCGCTAACCTTTCTCTGGCTTGTGCGTCCGACGGCACCGACGACCCCTTGCCTTTCGAGTACATGGCGAGCACCGTACGCCGAACACAAACACAACGGTCGATACGAAAGTCCGCCAAACCTATGTGAGACTGATCTTGGATCGCATTAAATACATAATTTTAGCATCAATAAAAACGTAAACACTACAAAACAACAAAACCATGATGGATTCTACTTGATTTGATAACACTGCTAGGAACCCCCGAAAGTCATGGAGGAAACAGCGTTGACAAAGACGTTGTGATCTGCGATCAACTATAAATTGCCCTCCGCATCGCCTACCAACAGTCTACCCCACCAATCCGACTGGCGATAACCCAGGGGAACCTATCGTGCCGCAGTTATAATAATAAAAGAAGAACAAAAAGTAAGAACCAATGGCCAATGGCGTCACTTTGTTATTTGTTATTGCAATAATGCCTTTTTGTAATTTGGTATTTGTATAATGAATATTTTATATTTTTATTAAACCCATAAGAATAGGATTATAAAATGAAATAGCCAATGCCCAATATTAGTTTGATGTATGTGCTACCAGGATATATTAATTTTTAATTACAATTAATATATTGTATTTGATCGATTACCGTGTGGCGTGTGCGTTTTTGACTTTTGATATTTTGCACATGCTTCGTGTCGTTTTTTGATTTGTACGTTTAAAATTTTTTACTTTCCAACTGTCGGTCGCGTGCTTCTTTCGGTGGTCGTACCAATGTTTCACTAATGTGAAATATTGAAAATATAACAATTGTACCTATAGTATTGTAACCATTGTGTATAATCATTACCAGAGAACACCGCCGAGAATGGATAACTGAATAACATTAATTATACCGTGTCGCGTGTCCTCGTTCAAGTTAATCGTCATTCAGTGGAGGCAATGATGACATCTTCAATCAGTTAAAACCAGTTACAACGAAAACGAAAATTCCATATCAACCGCCATCGTCGTTATAGAGGTAAATCTACTCTGAAATTTTGGTTATCGCTTAGTCTTAAATTACAAATAAACAAATCATTTAGTATTCTCGTCCTGGGATTAAGCTGTTTTCGCTTGGTCTTTAGGTGGTTTAGGCTCTAGTAGTATACTACCCATAGTCCATTTAGACATGACTGTGCGGTGTGCATCCACTTGTAATGTGCCTGTCTACATCCACATACTCGTAGATGTTTCACATTTGTATGCTACTTATATCTTGTGTCAATTTGTCGACATAATTGTTAAGCAGTTAAATAAACAATTTGTTGTATCTTGTACCCAATGTAATATACCTACATTATACATTATAGCCTTCATTGTAGAGTGATAGTTATAGTCATTTTCACATTTTTTCTTTTTTTAATAAGTACCTAGTCTTAAATCCAGAAATTTAGTGGAGGCTCAAACTTGTATTGTTGTATAATATTATGTGATACTATCAGTCATAAGCGAGCCCAAGTCCTCTTGACAGGGAAGGCATGACCGTAGCTGTGAAGGTCTGGGTGTCTGGACTTCCAACTCCCCCATGGATGTATTGTAGTTCTTTTAAACCATAGTATACTGATTTATACTGACTATACAGTTTAAATATTCAAGTACCTCAAGTGTTTTCAATAAGTACCTCTTTTTTTAATAACAATAATATCTTCAAAAAATAATTAAAACCATATGTACTTTGACGGTATGGTTAAATATTTTTAAATTCTTCCTAATAAACAATATATGTTTGATTCTGTTCATCAAATATATTTAGAAGTCCATCTAATCTTCCATGACCCCTAGTATTTCGCTACTTTGTTGTAACAATGTTTAATTTAGATTTTAGAGAAGCATCTTTCACAAGTGTAACTTGTTACTGGTATAGTAATAAATAACTTTAAAGCTATGTAGACTAGGAAAAATATTCTGACCATCACAACAAGTGAACCATTTAATTCGTTCTTCACATTTATTGTTCTTATTTGCTTAATGGATTTTGTAGAATTTTATGATCTAATTGACTAACTGTACAACATTAAGCAATTTTTTGAACCTTCTTTTTGGTTAAGAAACACTGGATAATTTTATTTTTGGTGCATTTATAAATCATCAGTGTAGGTATCTACTGTATTACCTTTAGTTAAAACAATGTTGAATTGATACTTATTGTTCTGAATCTCATTTGTTGTTAAATATTCTTATACTTTATAATTTTTACTTCTTAATTTATAATACAGTTATAGCAACAAATCAGTTTTTCAAGAACATTTGAAATATATATGTTGTACCTTCCTACTTCATAATTAACTTTTTTATTAATTTGTTGTTAAATAAAAACACTATTCAATGTGCAGTAAGTATACAAAGTACCTAAAAATATCCTATACTACTTACCTATCATGAGCAAATAAGTATTTATTGAATTTTTACAGCCAGTTGAATTGAACCAGTCGAGTGTTTACTTTGCAAAATAGGAATTTGGAATTTGAGATGCACTAAGTGAATTATTTGATTTATTTTAACTCATATAATTTCACCAGTTTTTTTAAATTTGTTTAATGCATTTTCACATCATAGGTATATGTTGTTAAATTTGTATGCGTGGAAAATACTTAACTAATAGTATACTTGGATGTTCATTTTAGTGGTATTGTATAAAATCTGTTGACTCTGTGTTGCTAATAAAAATGAATAATTTTAGGTAGGTACCTTTTAAAATATGTTGGTATTTACTGGAGTACATACTATGTATTAGTTTCATTAGGCAGGTATTTAGTTTATTTAGTATTTACTATTGAATAACCAAATAATTTAAACTGTTTTGTAAACAGTGACTTATTTTCCAATTTATATTGTGGGGGGGGGGGGAGTAACATCTCAACCAACACTTATCTATATTTTCTTTCAGCAATTTTCAACCTGAGGGTAGTCTACTTTTTTTTAGGGTACCTACATATTACACACATACTTTGATACATACATGAACATTTTTCTATCATAATAAAATGGTTGCCAAATTGGTTGAGAACCACTGTTCTATGGCTTTATTTCATCTTAAGTTTAAAATATCATTCTGTGGTTTATGTTTGTTAATTTGTTGAAAATAAAATAGTAGGTACACTTTAAATTTTTATAAGTTTAAATTATTTATCCATAAATAAAAGATCAAATTTGTATTTGCTTAAGTTTGAGTGCATTATTTAGAATAATGTTTGACAATTTCTTATAATTTTTGTTATGCATATGCATGTATCCATTAATTTAAACATAATATTGTGCATGTGATATTTAGATAAAATATTTAATTGGTATGCACCTGCTGTTTTGTTTAGTGCCATAAGAAATAATAATTATTATTTGATTTACTTTTTAACATTGCACTTATCAGTTACCTACTGTTGTTTATTCAAAATAATAAAATGTTGATAGGTATGTCATTAAATTGTAATTAAAAATAATGTTTAGCATAAACAACTACTTAAGTAGGTAATGCTCACTTACTTTTTAAAAATACCCATATAACCATACAGTAAATTCTATCCAGAATAAGAACTCACTACGCTTGCGCATTTGGTATGGCTAGCGGTGTAAGCAGAGTGCAAGGTGTCAACGGCAATAGTTTGTGGAGTGGGGCAAATGTGCAAATTAGAACCAGTCTTCATCCGCTGTCCGGTGCTTTCTTATTCTAGATAGAGTTTAGCTGTGTTATTAAAATTAAAAAAAACGTGCCTACAATAGTACAATTTATAATAATTATTGTTGATTAATCCATAAAATGTTCAAAACTATAAAAATTCTTGAAACTATGTTGCTGAACTTATTTATTTTATATTCAGTTAATTTATCTATTTTACATACATTTTTAGTTGTCTTGACAAAGACAATAATCATTCGATTTTAGAAACTAATATAAAAGATTTATTACAATTTCACATGGTAATATTCTTATTTAGGTACCTATTTATTTTTATTTAAACCTATTAAAATCTGAGATTATCCATAATCATATGATTATTTTAGTCAAAATTGTGTTGCAAAAATATTTGTTTAAAAATAATAACAGGTAAATTATGAATTATTTATAATTGTACCTACTTAGTATTTATGTATACTCTACCAACATATTTTAATGTTGCAGTAGAGTCAGCGTCATTGCTTGATGTTTAGGGGGCCTGTGTGTTAATATTCAGTGTCTGCCATTTTTTTTAGGCCTTGAGTTTCCGTTCCTTGTAAAGTTCCCTTTGCATTGTTGTGTCATGAGACCAATGATAACCTTGAAATTCAAATAAAGTGTTTAATTATTATTTTTCTGAATACTGTATTTTTTAGAATAAAATGAAAAGCACTCAAATTTTTCTTCTAAAATGTACAATTAAAATGTTTTAATATATTTATGTTTGAGCGACAAAGCTTTGAATATTAGCCCCTAAAGGTGATGAAACAAATAAGGTTGAGAACCACTGCTTTAAATCATTCATTGAGCTGAAAAAATGCTGCATTAAGAGTAGGATAATAAACTTTGACCTTAACGTTTTCTTCTATTAGTGTCAATTTTCTGCCACTATCTAATTCTTCAAAAAATTTACTTTTTTTTTTGCGTTTTGATGAAAATGTAAAGTAAATACTCCATTTACTATTATTATATATGACACTGCCTATACCATATGTTTTTTATAAGATTTTTCATGTTTCATTCCAGTCCTAGATCGCCGGGGGGGGGGGGGGGTAAGTCCCACACTTTTCCATCTGGTTTTTACAGCACTGAGTAAAGTATAATATTATGTAGCTACTAGTTTATAGCATAATTAGTAGACATATTGAATTTGTGTAAGTAACTGGTACCACTTTTACCGCCTTTTTTCAACAATGAAATAAAATTTGTAATTGAGAGTTTAAAAATTATAATATATATTTTTTTTGCTTTCAGAAACATGGAGAATTTTGAAGCAACAGAAAATGTTATGTGTGAAACGCCCCAACAACAGCTATTACCCATTGAAAATAACTGTCAGCCAGTTGAAAATGTATTGCTGAACAATGATGATGCAGAACCTTCAAAAATTGTAGATCAAATTACTAATTCCGAAAACCAAATATCTGTAGAATCAACTGATGCCAGTTCTCAAAATGCAAATATTGCTGTTGAACTTAGTTCAATTGTTCCAACCGATAATTCTATGCCACCTCTTCCACCACTTCCTAAAAATGATAATGGACAAATGCCACAACCACCAGCAGCACCAATCTCAGCTGATTACAACATGCAAAACTATGCAAACTACAATAATTATATGTACAACTATAACAATTATTATGGCTATCCTTATCCTCAGTACCAATGGGATTATAATAGTCAACAATATTATCAACCATATCAAAATTATTACAATTATAATTTTAACCAAGCAAATCAAACCCAAACATCAAAACCACCTCCACCACCACCTGATGCTGTGCAGTTACCAGTTGAAGAGAAGCCAGCTAATAAAACCAATGCTGTCGTTGACGACTCTAATAGGTAGCTTAATATATTTTATAGTTGATTGTGTATATTAATATAATTAAATAGCTGATACCTATTAATAAATATATATTTTATGTTTCAGATATTCTCCTACGGCAGAAACTGATGATGATGATCCTATGAAAGGATCAGAAAACTATAAATCTGATGTTCTTCTTGAAAAACCTACACAAACTATAAGTGCTGTTCCCTTTCAAACTGTAACATCTGAACAAATTGAAGTGCAACAAAACATACCAGAGAGCATTGACAATATAGTTCAACAGACCATTGACCCTCCAACTCTGCCTTTGATTACAGCAGTGCAACAGCAAGTTCCTGTGATTGCCCAGGTGCAACTATACAATATTCAGGCTCAACAATCTAGCTATCCAATAAATCCACAAAGTCAAACTGAAACTGTTAATGAGGTGCTAAATCAACAGCAAACCTCACCTGCATTAAACGGCAAAGATGACTCTATTGAGAAAGTGTCCAAAGCATCAACGGTGTTGGGTAAATCCCAAGCCAAAAAACGTCTTATGGCATTTTCAATGATGAAACAAAAGTTACAAGAACAAAATAATTCAGTTACTGATAATCAGAGTCCAGATATTGGAGAAGGAAATGACGGGGAATTTGTACCGGAACATAATGTATTTCAAACAGTTACAAAGAAAAAAATTGTTACTAATAAAAAAGGTAAGCGAGTTATAAATGAGATATTTATCAGTTTGTATTATTACATTTCTTTTTGTACTCAATGTAAAAATTTCTCGTTGGAAAAAAGCTTATTTCCAGTTTTTTCAATTATTTTTGCTTTTATGCATAACTCTGCTGACATATATGTCCTATATAGTCTAGATGTAGATGGGTTACTGACAAAAACCTAGACATTTTTGTTAATTTCTGTTTTTTTTGTGTTGTTTTTGTTCATGGTAAACCTAGAATTAAAAATAATTCTCCTATGTATTATATTTGAATGCTTGTTATAAAGTATATTTAAATGCTTTTTTCAGTTCTTGTTTTAATGATTATAAGTGCTTTAAGTCCTGAACCTTACTAACAACTTTAGGGGCCTCCTTACTACTGGATTCTAAGGAAAATTGTATAGGCAACTTCTTATACATTCAGCAATTAGCGGTGTCACGGTATTAGTCGTAAATGATCGTTAAAAGTTGTAACCCACATAGTAGCACGGAGGGATCTCACCTGCACTCACACGTCTGATAACAATTTTGTGATCCAGAAAAAAATATTTATTTTCCACTCAAACTGACAACTCTAATTAAAAAAATACGTCGCAACGATTGCATTGATTTGCATTTTGAAAAAATATTCTAATTTTCCTCAACTTGTATGAGGGATTAATCGAGGCACATTTGCATGATTTTAGTTAGTTTTGTCTAAGTTTAAAATTTTGCCAATTTTTGATAATTATAACAACATTTTTCTAAATGTATCAGAATCATAAATCATCTAAATTACAACAGTTAAAAATGTGGCTTGATCCTTCCCTTGTACATATTATGGAGAGTCCGAATACTTTTTCAGAATAAAAATTGCGATAACTGTCGATACATATCTTTTGAATTAGAAAAAAAACGTGCATTTATGAGGCCCCTCTAATAACTCAAAATTTAATCTATCATCTAATTTTGTGACACTATCTCATGTAAAATACTCAAATTAATAATTTAGTTTACTGAACAATTTTATTCGTTTTATAGTTGCTAAAGTTATCAAGGCTCAACAAACGATTGAACAAATTGAAGAAATGAAGAAAGATGAATTGTTACAAGGAAATAATGCAGCATTATATCAACATCTCTTAAGAAGTGGCGGTAAATATAATATTTTAAATTGTTGTTGAATGCTTAATATGTAATTTATGTATGCAATTGTAAGGATTATAATAGAGCATTGATGTATAGTTAAAACTAAAAATATATGTACAACATAATAGAATAATTCATAAATTAGTTAAATTCTGTATAACATATTTTATTTAAAACTTAAACCACTTCAAATTCAAATGTCTATTTTTAATTTTGGATACAGAAACATAGCACTTAATTTTATGACAGTTTAAAATATAATCTAATGATTATATTTATTTTCTCAAATTTCTATCTGAAGTTTAAATTAGATTAATTCCAACAATTCTCAAATTAAAATATTAATTTTTAAAGTGAAACACATTAAATAAAATGTAAAAAGAAAAAATACGGATGGGTACCATGAACAATTTTTCTTTACTAAATAGCTCATCTGAACTTAAAATTATTATACATTTTGGTTTAATTATTGAACCTAAAATCTAAACCCGTCAAAATAATCTGTCCTAGTGAATGAATTAGAAATATGGGTGGCCGTTTTCAATACTTAAATATAGTATAATAAATAACTATGTTATAAATCAATTTTTTTGCTAAGATATAGTATTGTAAGTATAGCTACTTTATAATAATATATTTTAATATTTATGAATATTTTTCAATTACTTACAAATTAATTGGAAAAAACCAGTTAGTATCCCAAAGGAGGATATTTGGTTGAATTAGCGGGAGAGCTAGAATAATCCAATAATAATAATGCAAATTTTAATTTTTTTAAGATGGGAGGGCTATTTAAATTTCTTAAGTTCCTCGCCTGATGTCCACCTATTTGTGTACCTTCAATGTCAAATATTACTTTTTAATTGTATGTCTTTTAGTATTAGATTTTGAGCAAAGCAAAGAATGTATCAATTTTACAATTATGTGATTTTTTTTTTACTGTGTCTTCAACATGTTTCCTTATAGATTAAATGCTTTTACCATTCACTTTGAGGAAGTAGACATTTCTCAGTACTTTTTAAAATATCTGGATTGAAGGTTGAACATTTGTTAAAATTGTAATTACAATAGTTGTTGCATAACCATTTAAGTTACTCAATCCAAGACATGCATTACCTTGATAGTAGATACTGTTCAGCATAGTGCTTACCAAATGTCCACTTTAAGATTCTGAGCAGAGCTATAAATGTATTGATCTTAGAAAACGTTTTTTTTTTTTGTGTATAGATGTTTTAAAAAATGCTTTAATCTACAACTTTGAGATTGATTTATGACAGAAAATCAGATGTAGTTGGTGTTTCTGTTAGGTCAAAATTGAAAATTTTCAGCACTGTTCAAAATAATCAGGAAAAACGACATACATTACAGTGACTTGCTCAATGACAAAGTACACTTGACATCTGCTGTAGCGCAGAGTGATTACTTTTTTTAAAATTTAAATTATGTTTTAGAAGCAAAAATTGTTATAACATAAGTATAAACTTATTTCTCTTGTTTGTTATTTTGGTATATATTGTCTTGACTTCAGTAGTTCAATAAAAACAACTGTAAGTTAATTTTTTTGGAAAATTAACAGCTTTAAAAGTATTTGACAAGACTTATAAAATTCAACATACAATCCTAGATGTAGGTTTCTTCAGGACTTTGTTCTGATGGCACTTTTTGGTTCATCAGGATGCCTTGCAAAAAATATTCTGCAATGTTTAGCATTTTTCTAACTTTTGCAACTTAAGATCCTTGATTCTTGAATAAGAGGTGTGTTCAAATACTACCAGGATTTTATTTTTAATAAATACAAAAGTTAAGTTACACATTATTTAAAGATACCTCCTTCAAAATATTCTCCAGACAAAATGCAATGGTCTCAGTGTTCTTGCCATTTTTTGAAAATCCTTTGAAACTGCTCTGAAGTTAAGACTGAGTTCTGCTGCCGTATCCGCTTTAATTTCTTTTACATTTTGAAATTGTTGTCCTTTGAGTGCAAATTTTAGTTTTGGGAAAAGAAAAAAACACATGGGTTCAGATCAGGATAATATGGAGGGTGCGGGACAGCAGGTGTTTTTTATCAGCCAAAAATGCACTTATCGACAGCGCCGAATGGGCTGGCGTATTGTCGTGGTGAAGAAACCAGGTTCTTGTTTGCCATTTTTCTGGGTATTTTTTACAAATTTTTTCTCCCAAATGTATTTATACATCTCCGTAGAATACCTGATTGACTGTTGGTCCATGGTGTACAAATTCATAATGAGCAATGCTTTCAATATCAAAAAAACAATCAGCATTGTCTTGACATTTGACCACACTTGACAAGCTTTTTTTAGCCGAGAGGAAAATTTTGTTTTTCACTGGAATGACCTAGATTGTACCCATAAACTCATGTCTTGTCACCTGTTCTGTTTTTATAAAATTAGGATCGATAGAACGATTTTGAAGGTCTTATCAAATTGTTAAATGATTTTTCTTCTGTTTGAACATATCAAAAACGCCAAACAAAACAAAGTGACTCGATTTAACGATGTGTTAATTTAAACTGAAATAAAATAGCAACTTGTGTTTCCTTTAAAATATTTACTAATACGTGGGGAATATATCTATATATTATAGTTTAAAATGTTATCATGCTTGAATTAGCCGTAATAATATTTGTCCTGGTACTTTTTAAATAGACCTTGTATTATTTATTATTCTATTTTCAACTACTTTTTAATTATATTTTTATTGATAAAATGAAGTTAAATACTCATTATTAAGGCATAGTTTTTTAGGTGACTTGTCAAAATTAATTGTCTTTAGGTTTCATGCTACCTAACCTACCTATTAGATGCTGGTCAAAAGTTCAAAAGTTCTAACTTAACGAATACCATTTTTTTTTTCATGATTTGTAGTTACCATTTACCTAATTCATTTTAAAATCTTGTTAGATGCCATTTTTCTTAGAATAAATTTGATAAAAATATGTAGATTAATAATATATTTAGTTTTGTAATAGTTTCAAATTGTTGTAAAAAAAAAAATAAAAAAAAAAATATTGATTATATTGTACTATATTACATGTCTTGTAAATACTAAATAATTGTTGACTGTCATAGAAGTATTGAATACATTATTTCTGAGTTTTGATGTGGGCTAATAAAATATAAATGAATACAACTTTATATTCATATATCTTTATGTATATTTCACAACAATTATAATGACCATCTAATATAAACACATTACTTTCAAATCTTTTTAACTCTAAATATGACTAGTCTTGGGTATTTGATAGGTACCTACTACCTATGACTGTTAATTAAATCACTTAATATTTAAAATCAAAAAGTAACTTTTGTTGACATTTTTAAGATTTGGTATTTGAAATGAAAATGTGAAATTGAATATATTTCATAACATTTATTTTCCTTAAACAATACCATATTCATATTGAAACATTTTGAAGATAAATGTTTTTCTGTGGTTATTTTATTTTATTTAAATCATTGCCTGACGGAAATTGCACAAATTTTTATTATTACTTAAAGATAACATACAATGTATAATTTATTAACAGCAATGAGTGATGTACACACAGATAAAACAAATTAAAACAAACATTTATTGTGGTCCCGAACTAATATCTTATTGTTTTGGTTTTCACTAAGGCTTATATTCTAAAAGATTGGGTTCTGAATTAATGAGACGCATTTTTCTCTGTAGAGGATCATTAAATAAGTAATTCGTTGATCGATTATTGAGTTGAAAAGTATGTGTAGTTTGTGACTCAATCCTGAGAACACAAAATGCAAGTTAGTTAATATTCGAGTAGCATCTATTTTGCCATTAACCAGATTGCTTATGAATTGTATGTTCAAATGTTCAATACTTTTTTTCTGGTTTCAAGGCTAGCTAAATTTAATAATTTAGAAACCAGTGCATAGTCATGTGGTGGGTGGTTAACTTTTAAAACATATCCGGCGAAAGAAAAAAAATCTTTTTTGGACACTTTCAATTCGTTCTATGTTTTTCTGAGTGTAAGGAGAGCATACTACCAACCCATATTCCAAGATTGATCTTACTAATGATGTATATATTGCTGTAAGACAGCTTGGTCTATATTTGGAGCCCTGAGTAGGTAAAGCTTTACATGTAATGTATTCTATGTGATTATTAAAGGATAACAATGGTACTAGTCTCACTCCTAAATCATCTACTTGATTTACTCGACGCAAGATTTGGTTGTACACTAGGTATTCATGAATGATACATTTATGCGTTTTGAAGAATGTCATAGTCTTGCACATTTATCTAAGTTTAAGGATAGGCCAACTGTTTCGCACCAGTTAACAAGTTTAAATAAAACCGTTTGTAATACTATGCAGTCATCCATAGTAATTATATTGTGAAACAGTTTTGCATCATCAGCAAATAAGAGGATTCTACGTGGTTGAATGACTTTAGACACCGCATCAATAAAGATGTTGAATGATAAATGATTAGTTTTGATTTCGGAAAATATTTTATTCACTAGTTATTTATTTATTTATTTGTTTGTATATTTTTATGGAAGCTTTACTGAAGTAAATTAATATTGAGTCTAAGTTAAATTAATTTTTATTTTAGGAAATGAAGCTCCAATCCTTCAGAAACTTGGTATAGAGTCATTGGCAGAAAAATATTCAGCTAAGATAAGAGAACAGGATAAGCGCTCGAGTAGGCACCATCACAGGCGTCGAGATGAATCCAGGAGAAGCCACAAATATCGTCGTCGTTCACATTCAAAATCCAGGTTATTATTTTCCCAATTTTTATTCCTCAGCACAAAGACTGTACTAAATCCGATAATAAATATTTAGCGCAAAAATTATCCACAGAAAACAAAGTCCCGGGTCGTCAGCATTGCTGCAATATTATTCTATAAACTTTAGTGAAGGAAGCGCTGAGCACTTTTTGTACCTATTTGATATTTACATTATCATTTAAATAGAGGTATATCAATTACCCGAAATTATTACTGCTTAAAATTCATGTCGCCATGGCATTATTTTTCATTTAGGTCTAGGTCAAGATCAACAGAAAAGCCAAAGATGCGAGCCCTAGAAGTCAAGAGTTGGAGAGATTTTGTCAAAGGTGGATTTCATTTCGACAGATTTAGAAGATTCAAGATGGATGAAGCTAAAGAAATGAAAGATAAAGAGCGCAAGTCCAGAAAAAAGAAAAGGCACGGAGACTCAAGATCTGATAGTAATAACCATAAAAATGAATCTAACACGTAAGTTAAGTTTTTTTTTTTAACAACGGTCAGTTGTGTATTTACTATTAAAACTGGGCGACTTAATTTTTTTTAACTCAATTTAATATAGACAAATGGAAGTTAAGTTTAAAGTTAAGATTCTTTTCTTTTTGTTTAATTTGTAAAAGTTTCAATAAGTAACTTAACTCGCTATCTTTTTTTTCTTATATAATTTAGAATTATACTTTTTTTTAAGGATAAATATTTAAACTAATTCCTTCAGGTATTTCAGATACTTAAACACTCGATCAATGACAAAATCCAATAAAATAATTGAATTACATGAATATATTTTTTTTATCAATTTGTCTACAACTTTTTCCGAAGTGATGGTAAAATTGTTAACATTTTTTTGGTGAAATTATAACAATCAAATTTTTCATTTGAATATGTTTAATTACACATATAATATTAATTATTAATCAATTGATAGTATGAATACAATGCTTAATAAAACCATTATTTTATTGTACCCCATTACTCTGTAACTATATTAGTAAACACTAATATTATGTAAACATTAAAAAAGTAAAATAATATAACCATGAACCAAGGTTTTCTGCATTAATACTTAATAAATTATCAACAAAAAAACCAGTACCATATTTGTTTACCCAACTTAGTTAAGATTTAATACAGAATAATATTTATTTCAGCCTTTGTGTCACACACACAGTGTACAAATACGTCTGGGATACCTTGTCTATTAGTTATATTTTTCTTTTCTCGATAATGGTTGTAAATGTAGGACGTTTTCCGTTTATTCACTACCCCTACTTTTATTGTTTTTAATAAAACAGAGGTAACTTTGTTTTGAAACCAATGGGTTTTAAGTGGTATTTATAGGGAAACTATAGAAACTTTTCTAATTCCTATTCCAACAGATGGGCATATACATTGTTGCCAATTATCATTGAACATGTTGCTGTAGGCACGACAAAAATATCTGATGAGTAACGCTTCTACTGCATTGATCAAACTTTTCAACACATGACGGTGAATCCTTCCCTTAATTTTGTAGATCTTAACACTTTGGCTCATGCCATATAACCATTGAGAGTTCTTAGGGCAAGGCTACTTGATCCAGTACACGTAGTGTCTTAGAAATTTGTTTGAAACAATGATACAACACAGCATAATTCATGCCCCCAGAATCTAAATAATATGTTTGTGTGGATTATTATTATTAAATGCTTAAACATACCAAAGAAAAAACCGATAAAAAAGTGATAGTGAATAAACGGAAAAGGTCCAATAATTAACTCTAAGTAATTTAATTAAAAGTAACTTAACTTTTTAACTCATTAATGCCCAGTCTTGTTTATTCTCCTCTGCATCACAATCATCAGTAGAATACAGTTATTTCATAAGCACAAAATTATAATTTGTACTTACCTTTTATTTATTTTAATTGTCTGTGTTATTTTTATATCTATATTTTAAAGACCATTCGAAACAGAAAAAGGAATTGGAGATCAGAAATTACGCCACAACTTATTAGATCGTAAAAAAGAAATTCTGAAGGGTCTTGAGGTCACCACACACGAAGGAGACTTTACTAAGGATTTCCCCAGCTATATTATTCGATGCACTAAAAATAAACCATCCATAAAGTTTAGTGAAAATCCAGCAAATGCCACTTATCATCTTCAGAACAGACAGCAAATGTTAGCCACACTTCTTCCAGAAATTGAAGCAATTGTACTCAAGTTCTTATCTGCAATGAAACCAAAAAAGTAAAGTATATATTCATCATATGTTTAAGACTAAGGGTTAATATTATAACCAAGGGCATAAAACATAAATTATTGATAATGATTTTAAAATGAATTATGTAATATCATTGATTTTAATATAATATACAGATAAGCCATCCTATTATTATTATTGGAAACAACTAATTGCATTCAACCGCTAAGTTCGCTGTATCTGTTTGCATTTGTTAATATTGGAAGTGGTTGAATGTAATTAGCTGCTTTCAATATTAATAATAGGTTGTCTAAGTAATGTGCAAGCAGTCCTGACAGTGATGTTGATACCATAGAAAAAAAATATTAACAGTAGAATGCCTTCTCTGTATATTAGAAAATCAATTGCAATTTTGAATTATTAGATTTTGCCACTGACATGAGCTTCATCACAGTGTTCCGATTTCTCTCACTATCGTACTGAATTCTCCACTCTAGTCCATCAGCGTGTACACTATTACTATAGTTACTACACATTCACAGCTGTCGACTGTTGGCAAATGCTACCAAATGTTACCAGATGAGTTTTTGTCAATGCTTTGGTTGTTCTTTTGTGGCCTTAGTATTGTAAACACATTGCTATAACTACTGTAGATTAGCCCGGTGGTGTTCTAATGGATTTTTCACGAGAGGGGGGGGGGAGGAAGCATAGTTCATTTTTTAGGTTACACTATTACTTGATTTGGATTAAAAATATAAATAGTTTTTATAAGATCATTAATACTGTGAAAAGGTCATGGAAGAAGGGGGATTTATCCCCCATTTGAGCCACTGGATTTGCCAATTTTATTACATTATACATTGTAAATTATAAATTATTTTGTTTTAGGCTCAAAGAAAATTATACCGATAATAACTGTAACAGCATAGACGAAAAACTTTTAGTTATGATGAAAGATAAGAATATTTATCCATTCAAAGGTTGGTGGCCAAAAACAAATTTTATTGTAACTCAAGTCAAAGAAGATCCAAATATTGAAATAGATGAAGATGTTTTAATGAATGAATTCACAACTAGTAAACGAACTAAAAAATCTAGATTCAATGATGATACATCTCTTGTTGAATTAAGACCTACTGTTCCATCTAAGTGGGATAGTGATTATGACGGTAGTCCAGCTGCTGAGAATAAAGTAGCATATGTTGGAGTTACCCAAAGTGTAGAAATGAATACTAATGATAATATCTGCACAATCAAAAGAGAAGAAAACAATTCTTTGGACATAAGCCACCAGGAAGAAGCAATGGACACTGCATCTGATGTTGGTGAAGACGAATCAAAGATTGAAGTTAATGTTTGTCCAGTTCTACCTGTTCAGATTCAAGAACCACAAGGACACACTAAATTAAATACAGAATATGAAGAGTTTTTGAAAATTGTAAAAGCTGAGAAGGAAGAATGTGACATTTCTATTACTACTAATGCGAATGTAACTACTGAAAAAGATTCTGAAAACAACTTATCAATGAAGTCTGTATCATTGAATAATGATTCAATACAAGACGAGTCTGAAGAGTACATGTCCACCAAGTCTTCAGATGAATCTGCTTCATTACGAAATGCTGCCGAGGAGTCTGATTCCAATGATAGATCATTTAATGAAGAATTATCTACTATTAATTTAAAGAACAGAAAAAAGAAAAAATCGTCTAGTAAAAAGTCTAAGACATTTAAGAATAAAGGAAGTAAAAAAAAGAGGCATAAATCGAGTTCCAGTGAAAGTTCACAAGATTCAGAGTCAGAAAGTGATAGTAGTTCAGATGATAGTGATTCTGAATCAACCGATTCAACCTCTACGGTTGAAAAAAAGAAAAAAAAGAAATCAAAAAATAAGAAAAAAAGAAAAACCAAAACAAATTACAAAAAGAAGCACAGGAGTGATAAGAACAAGACTAAAAGTCCTGAAGATGAAAAAGATGCCAATAGTAGTATTCTCAATTTAATCGAAAAAGCATTAAATGTTGAAATTAAAAAAAGACCTTCTGATAGTAAAGAACCTAAACATAAGAAGAAGAAAAGAAAACACGAAAAAAAAGAAAATAAATTAAATGAAGAGAATGATGACAAATTTGAAAAAGTTAAAGATTGTTTAAAAGAAACAATTACAAAATTGGTTAAAACAGAAAAAGTGAATAAAAGCCAGTCTCTTTCATGTGATGACACTGTCATTGAAGTATTAAAATATTTAAACGACAAAGAAAAAAAGAATAAAAAATCAAAGAAAAGTTTAAAAAGAAAGCATGAATCAGATATTTCTGATGATGAGGAAACTCCTAAAAAATCTAAATTAGTTGATAGTTCTTTTAAACCTAAAGATAATGATAAAAAAAAGAAGAATAAAAACAAAAAATCTGTTGATTCAGATGAACACATAATAAAAAAAAAGTCTAAAAAAAAATCTAAAACTACTGATACTTCAGAGGCTGAAGATGTAGAAGTTTTAAACCAAAATAAAAGTAAAAAAGATTCAGTTCAGTTTTTTGAATTGCGACCCAATGAGTGGAACACAATTAAAAAAAGTTCCAGGAGGGGAGTCGTCCATCACTCGGAATTAAAAAATAGAAGTAAAACATCACCTGTACATGATACCAATAAATACAATAAAAATGTTAGAAAAAAAAAATCTGACTCACTTAATTTAATAGATAAATGTCCTCCTACAAATAGCAGTAAAAACAAATATGAAATACCCAAATGTCTTAATGAATTTAATGAAAACGTTGAGGAAAAAGAAAGTAAAAAAAGATCGCAAAAGCCCAACAAAAATATCAAAAGTGACAAAATTGACAATGTTTCAAAACATCTAGTTGAAGAAAACAAATTAATTAATTTTAAGAACTCTGACCATGAATCTAATGAAAAAGTAAAGGATTGTACTGAAGAAAATTATGAGTTGTTAAACAAATCTGCTGACAAATCTCCTATTGATATATTTAAACTTAAAAATGATAATACTGAACAGCATGATACAAATAAAGATCTACAGAGTATTTTTAAACCACAGACCCAAAGTGTACTACCAATTGATTTATATGATAAACCTCCTATTACTTGTACTGTTATTAGAGCTGCTACAGAAACTGTATCTTATAGGGATAAAGTAAAAATGAATTTAAAGAAACTTTCAACTTGTCAAAATATACCATTTGGATTTGGATTTTCTTCACCAATTAGCCTAATTAAATCTGATAAAATCAAAGATCTTAAAGTGACCTTAAAAGAAGAAGAATCTAATAATGATGAACCAAAAGTTAATGAAGCACAATTTTTAAAGTCTGATACACCCAAAGTAGTTAATTTTTCTCAAACACAAATAGAAAAACCGGATGTAACTAAAAAAGAATTACTTAAAATTAATATTGAAACTAATGACAAAGCATTAGATCATAGTTATGATTGGGATGACTCTGAAGAATCCAATACTGACCATTCACTTGTTACAAGCACTAATACATCAGAACATTCAAGTGATGAAGGAGAAAGTGAACAAATTAATTCAAATTTATTGAAAAATGACCCACCAAATATATCTAATAAAAATGAAACATTCTCAAATGATAGTGAATTTAAAAAACTCGAGGAACTTACATCTAATGTGTTTCAAACAAATAGTAGTTCAGATTCAGTAATCAAAGAACAAGAAATTCCTTTAGTAGTTGACAATTTTCTTATGGAGAAAGAAATAACCACTCTGTCTAATTCAACTGTTTCCTCTGATCAACATTTAGATTGTAATACTGAAGGTTTGGAAAATGAGGTTGTATCAGTTAAAACAGAGAAAACAAATTCAGATCCTATGTACTCACAAAAGTCTAGCACCAATATACTAGAAGTTTCTAAATCCAACAATGAACTAATTACTCAATGGACGTCAGATTGGATAAATTTGGATAAGTCAGTTACTGAAATTAATCATTCAAGTAATTCTAAATCTGGGGATGAAGAATTACAATTAAAAAAGAAATCTCGTTGGGATAAACAACCCATGGATAATGAAATAGGCAAATTACAGAGTTTTAATAATAGACAGGAAGTGTATAAGGATGAAACTGAAACAAGCATCTTAACTGATGAACTAAAATATACTACATCTAACAATGAGGATGATCTTTATAACGAACAAAACCAAACATGTGAAATAATGTCAATAAATTGCATGAATGATGATTATCATGAAATTAATCCTTATGCATATGATGATTACTTTCAAACTTATGAACAATACACTGGTATACCTATGTATTCTGAAATGAAAACGATCGAACATGATTTACTAAGTCCAATTGACTATAGTGTGTATGAAAACTTTAATCCAAATTATAGTTACCATACTGAAGATTATGACATGTGGAAATCTGTAGATACAGATACATCTGAACACGAGATAAAAGCCATTCCAACCATTGATGAAACAGTTTCACAAGTAAGATAATAAACAATTTTTCTTATCAATAATTATTTATATATTGTGTATATTAACAATTTCATTTTTCATTTAGTTGGTCAATGTTTTTGAAAATTTTCCGTCTGACAATGTTGGTGAAGTTGAATTTTCTAAAGAGGAAGTACCAAATGAAAACATTGATACTATCATTTCAGACACTCGGGTAAATATATAGTAATTGGTTGATGATAAATTTATGGCGGTCGTCATAATTTGTGATAAAAGCTTGCTATTCAAATTCACTCAGTTCTCCCAAAATCGCATGTTCAATACTGAATACATTTATACGTATCAATAAGCATATGTTTATCTGAAATCATATTAGTGTTTAGTACCGCATATAAGTCAATCATTTAACCATAATCTCAAAATAAAACTATCAGAATTATCTGCAGATGGCTTTACTTTTACCGCACATTTGTCCAGATAAGGTATTTTTATGATTTTTTATTTTAACAAGATGACTGACTGCCTTCCAAATTTCCTTTTTTTAAATAGATAAAATATATGCGGCATTGAATGTTGTAGAATGTGGTTATAAATGATAAGTGTGCAGTTATGAATAGCGCTCACTAAAATCATCACTAATTGTATACTAGTTGGCTAAGAATAAGGTTTTTGGAGTTAAATTATACCTATAAACAAATATAACTTATTATTTATGTGTTTGATTAAATAAAACTCATTGTAAGTTAACTCGTAAATTATCACAAAAAGAAACTGGCCTGCTTTAACTATTTTTCCAGCAGTGTAATCAACAATACTAAATTACAACATTGTTTTTAGGAGGAAATTGTCAAAAATGAAAAATCAGATAGTGTTAGTCGCGATGAATTATTCGTCAAACTATATCATCAACATTTTCAACACTACAATCAAAATCCAATTAAATACTCACTGAGTGATCCTGTTATAATTAATACAGACAAAGTCAAAGTCAATATTCCAGATAGTTTGACATCTCAAGAAAAGTTGCCTGAAACTGAACAAAAATCTGATGATATAATGTCCATACCTTTACAAACTCGAGCATATGTATGTATACTTGACGACAATAATACCAATCTTTATCTTACCAGTGACAATTACATGGCATATTGTGCTGTTGAGGATAGATGTATGGTGCACATATCTGTAAATGCATGTAACCGTGATGGAATTGGTAATGATGTCCGACATTGTTTCAATGTAAACTTAAGTGGATCAATAAATGAGTATTGGTTACATGCAGATTTAATTCCATTTCATGCTCCATCTGATGCTGAATCAGGTGTGTTCAGTGATGACGAGAGGGACTCTTTGGATTCAGATTCTGGTCATGAAGAGGATGTAAATAATTACAATAACGAAAACAATGATCATATAATTGAAAGTGAATGGGAAATAGTTGACAACATTCATGACAATGTCAATAGCTGGCTAGATGAACCATATATACTTAAAAAATATAATATTGAACATGATGTTGGTCATATCAATCAAGAGCATTATGTGACTAGTTCCTCCGAATGTGACACAGATGGAAGTGAATTTTCAGATTCTTATGTTGAAATGTATAACGATAAACAAAATACTAATGAAGATCATTTTAAAAAGTCTCTTGAAACTAAAGATGATAATCACAAATACCAAGATATGATTGATGAAGTCACACCTTCAAATGTTTCTGAAAATACTGAAAATACTGATTCATTAGTAAAAACTGAAGAGTGCATAAAGTCATCCGAAAAATTAGTTTTGAATGTTGAAATTAAAAATGAAATTGATATGCTAGAGGTTGTTAATGGGAATAATATAACTTCAAAAATAAATTCAGAAAACAATGATGTCTTAGGGAACTTAGTAGAAGAAGTAAACAATGATAACGTCTCAGTAATTTCAAAAGAAAAAATAAACCTTGATGACGTCTCAGTAATGTCAGTAGAAAAAGGAAACAACCTTGAAAATGAATCAGGTAATAACAGACATTTGGAATTAAGTTGTAAAAATAATATAGGTAAACTGAATATCTAATTTTTCTTAATTGATAAAATTATGTTTCAAACTCTTTTTAGTATAATATAGTTTACATAATATTACTTTCAAGTGTCTAAATTAAAGAATAATAAATATCTAATAATATAATAATTAATCAATGTTTTATACCTCTCATAGCTTAATTTTATTATATTTGTTTATATTTTGTAGGTGTATTTATGAAAGAAGAAGTTACTGTTGCTGACCTTTCAATGATGGAAACCATTATTAATCAAAAGGTATTTTATCAGTATTCAATTATAATGTTTAATCTTTATTATTCTTTACTTACAATTGTAAGAAATAAAAAAAAATTTAATCTTTTTGTGAATAACTTGTGTGCTTATACATTTTTCAATTATATTTGAGTTATTAACTTTTAACTAATAATTTGACTGTTGTAAATTGTTCAGATATTAATTCAGAAATTAAAAATTCGCGCAAAAGAAAAAATTCGTGAGAAACTGCCTGACACAATAATGATTCGCTATAGTGACAACATGGATACCATTAAACATCCATTCTTAGGACTGTTTCAGCCACCAACTAACAGTATCCTATCTAAACCAAGGTAAGAACATGTACACGCATATACAGACATAATATTTATGGATATATTACTATATTAGTGCTTGTAATTTTTTTTTTCTATGATTGTAATATTTATAAATTGCTTCATCAATCAAAATTAATTAAAAATACATCTGTATGCTGTATAATTTTTATTCATATCAAAATATCACTATACCTATATATATTTACCTATATCCAATTTAATATTCATAATTTCATTTTCAATAGGTATTAAGTATTTAAGCATTTGTAATTTTTATTTTATTTTTAATTTATACCTTTATTATCTAATACTATTAGTATCTAATTATAATAATAATATTAATTTAGATATGGTTAATGGTGAAGTCATAAATTAAAAAACAAATTCATATAGAATATTTAAAAACTAATAAATAATTGATGTTACTCTTAATTTATTTGTTATTACTTATTACTGTACTGATGAAGTGTCATTGTTGTTTTGCTTTATGCCATTAAAGTAAAATATCTATTGAATAATTTACAAACAACATTAATTTTTTAATTATTGTGTTTAGGTCTACTAAATCACCACGCACTTTAAACTTATCTAAACGTGTGACTTTTGCTGATGGAATCCGTCCTGGAGACAATTTGGCAGCATCTCCAACGCACGACGACTTAGGTTGTCCATTATCACCTCCTCCTCTTAAAACATTAATGCGAGAAACATTAAAATTCAAACGTAACATGTATCCATTTAAAAGATCAAAGGTACGCACTAAATTGACAATGGTTAAAAAGAAAGTGGCCAAAGTTACACCCTCAATTAAGGAAACCAATCCATCCGTCATTGAGTATTATATTAGCCGCCGTCGTCTTGCAGACTTGCCTATTGGAGAAGTCCCCAATAGTAGTTTCTTAAGTTCCGATCATTCATCGAATAATAATGAGGGAACTGAAAAAAATTCTACACCACCTAGACCCACAAGAGAAGTTACTCCAGTGCCATCTGATACTGAGTGTTGGAATGACGACGATACCATTAAAAACAACAGATAATAATTCAAGATTAAATGAGCTTTATAGAAGAGTGAAATAGTAAAATGTCAACCTATGCCTTTAGTTCAACGTTATATAAAAATTATATATAAACATGCATTTATATTATGGCTACATAATTTTATATACACCATATACATAAGTTATTAATAATTTTATGGATGTATATTTCTTGACATATTTTATTTTGTCTAGATCAAAATATATATCTTAATATCATTTATTTTTATTACCTATCCCAATTATTTTAATTTGTGTACAATAATTATTTATCTATGTATTAATGTTTATTGTTTATTATATGAACAATGTTATTGAGTATGAGAAGGTGCCACATTTTGGGTGCATGACAATGTTTTTAAAACATTTTTTTTTTCTTAAAATAATTGATTATTATTTGTTACAATAATATAACTTAAGATATTATACCAAATAGGCAAACAAATATTAAATATTGAAATAACTGTAACTACTACTACTATAGATAATGCATTAATTTAACTGCTATGTTTGAATACAGGCATTATACATCTAGAATATTTTTAAATCCATACTACTTACCAAAAATGTTTTTTCAATTTAATATCCAGCATATTACAAATATTTTTAGTTTATGATTATTGATTATTTTAATACCTGCATTTTTAAATTGATTAACTGTTTATCATAAAAAATTTCTAATTTTAAAATGCTGCCTCTTCTTTCACTGTACAATTTTGACTGATTAGCTAGTAGCCATTATCCAATTCTCTGCATAGTAGCTATGGCAGACTACCAATCACTGTAATTTTAAAGAACTAATCTCTAACCATTTTACTTTTACGTCCTGACAAATGATTTTAAATGACAAATTATATTTTTTTTTAAAGAATATTATAACTGTATTTTTAAAATTAGTTCTAACTGTTTTTATAATATAATGTAACATGGTGTATTATATATTATGTGTATTGTAACTATATATAACAATGTTAAAAATAAAAATTTGATTACAATTTGAGATAGATTTGTAAAACTTATCACATTTGATTTGAGAATGTATTATTGTATGTAAGAAATATAATATAGCCCAATAGCCCAATAGCCCTACAGGTACTTTAAAAGTTTAATGTGCCCACAAATAATATTTTTAAATATAAAACAACTAAAATCGTAATTCTTCATTAAAATATGTAATTCCTTAAAAATTAAAAATTAAAATGTATAAAAAAAACTGTCTATATAATACTCCGATATTTAACTTCAGTAACTTTTGTGGTGAGAAAATGAATTTTGTTGGTGCGGTTGAAAGGTGAAAATTGAAAATTCCTTAATTTACAGTAGTTTTGTAAAAAAGTAATTATGTTTTCGGTATAACGTATAACTCATAAACAAATAATCGCAGATACTTGAAATTTTCAAGAAATTTCAAAAAATAAAATTATGTAATTAATATTCATGATAAGAAACATAGGTAATATTAATATGTAATTATTTAAATGTACTGTTCTGTAAGACCAGAATAAAAAGACCAATGCAATAAATTGATCAGAACCCATGTCTTTCGTTTCACAACTATACCACAACTTTCGGTGTGGAATACCCGAATACAGAGACCGCAGACGAGTACGGATTATATACATATATAATTGCTGTTCACTGACAAACAAGAGAACACTGTTTTAAAAATTTTAATAATGTTTATCTTACAGTAAGTAATAGAAACAACACAATATACATCACATAGGTAAATAATAATATAGGTAAGTACCTTAGTACTAAATAGATTCAACATTCAAAGATGTCGGTTAAATTACACGGTACAAAATGGGAATAATATAACACCTTTATCATTAAGTATAAACAATAGTACAACGAACATTGAACAAAACACTTACAGTTATAATAATATTGATATAAATTTACAGAAGAGGGATGTGCATTGAAAGGCAATAAGACCACGAGGGTTGGTAAGAACTACGAACTACAAACATTGCAGTTTACAATATAGCCATTTAGGTTAGAGGGTATACCTTTAATAATATTGGCGATTCACGATTCCGCATATTGTAGGAGTTAGGTAAGTTGGTACCTACCTGGCTACCTACCTACACAAAATTACAATACTTTTTAAGCGTTCATACCTATAATCTAAAGCGGTAATCGGTATGCCTATAAGTCCCGTATCATAATAATGATAATAATAATAATATAATACATTTATAATTATAGTAATTAACAGTTAATAATTAATAGTAATAGGTTATGTTATATACACACATCTTATAAGTTGTATTATACATTATGACTAGGTTGAGTAAGGGACAGGGATTTTCAGGTTTGCAAACACTGATTATGTATAATATGAATGAGTATAGGTATTTGGTATAAAGACAATTGTATATTTTTAACAACTTTTCAAGAAAAACGAAAACTTGATTGTTCTTAATAAATTTTAATTTTCTACAGAGTGATTCGCTAAGCATGCTCACCACCATTTTTCATTTAATAAACAAAATGTTCAAATTCTTGAGATTTTTTGTAATAGGTACTTAAGGAGGCGATACAAACTTCTGTTTTTATAATAAGAACCCAGCCCATTATTACTGTAAATTAATTAGTGGATAATTTTTTGAATTTTTTATGTAGTTACCTATAGAACACAATTCAAACAAGTAGTTTTTAAGTTATTAAAATTTGTATACTAAGGATAATAGTCCTTAATAGTTGGTACTTACTATTAGATTCAGTGGTTATTATACTTAGACAGTCGGACCATTTTTACAAATTTTAAAATATGTTGATAGATAGATCAGTCATCAATATTAATTAAGTAGGTAGGCAATACAATTATATTAGTATATTATACCATCACCATACAACGCAATAGCTTTCAATGTTGCTACCACTATATTCTTCATAATATAGTAATATTGCAAACCTATTATTATGGGCCTATTATCTACTGATTTTTATTTATTTTATTCACTTAAATAAGAAAGTAAATTTTAAAGTATTAACAAAACTAAAAATGAAAATGTAATTGTTTCTCTTGAATAGTTAATGTAAAAATGTAAATACCCATTGAAAATATTATAGGTAGGTATAATACAAAAATATTCTAGTTACCTATGTTTATTGCAAGGACATAGTTGGTAAGCTAGTTACTGGTATCTTTTATGGGTACCTATTTGGTCAAAATATCCAAGTTCAAATCAAATCAATTTTTTCTTGAAAATTGTACGTTATACTTTAAAGTTAATAATTTATAATAATAATATAAGGAACTTATTGTAATACAATATAATGTAATTAAAGCTCACCAAGCTTGGATACGGTCAAGACCGGAATTGAAAAAAAATTGGGGTGGGTCTTTTTGCATGGATACTAGACACTTATCATTTTTACGTTCAAAATATAAAAACTCTTGCTCAACATTTAAATATTTTGGGGAAGGGGGTCCGAATATTTGTAAGAAATTAGTATATTTAAAATTTAATTCGATGCCTACAAAAAGTATTTTACAATAAATAATTAAATAATAACAATACAAAACGTATTGCATATTTTTATATTGAATATTGATGAAACATTTGATTTTCAAATTTAGTAAGTATTTATTATTATTATATAAACATTCAATAATCAAATTAAATTTGTTTGGTATTAATTTAGATGAATCACAAATAACTGACAAATTGGAAATAATAATTTTTGCGAAAATGCAGCTGACGAAACTTTAATAGCACAGCGTGAATCGAGTACATTTTACTACTGCCACCATAAATGAAAAAATCGAGTAGAAGAAAAAATAAATTAAAACATATCTGCGTGGAATACATTGATGATAGGTACCTAGTAGTGAACGGGGAGGGGGGATGTTGTTCCTAATTTATTAAATGTTACCTCTAATTATCTTCTAAAAATGTCATTTATTGACCATAATGATCAGGTAACGATATTTAAAAAGTCTGTTTCGTATTCTAATTATTATTATTTATTATTATTTATATATCATTTAATAATTAGAAATATTGAAAACGATTTTTATACGTTTTTTAATTTTGATTTGTCTGTGGTCGTGTCCGTATCGTCTATTATTTGATGTCTGAGAGAAAAAAATTCTGGTAAAAAAAGTCATACAAACAATATTAGGTACAAAAAAATCTATATTTTCACCTTCCTCGTGGACTGTTTAGACATCCATTCTAGTAGGCATGGTTGGGCATGATACTCAAAAAAGTATAATGATACATGATACATGCATTTAGTGTATCTAGATACATTGTAAATGTAGGAAAGGTACAAAATATTAGATTCATGTAGGCATCAAAGGTGCAGAATAAAGCTAGGAAAAACTTATATATCTGCAACACAAAAAGTGTGATTCAATTGTTTTAATTTTATAAGCTATTGACTGTATTCTGTTTACCTAACCGTATAGGTATAAGGTATTACTCTATACAATGAACCTACATTAAAAATATGAATGTTTCTAATTTAAAAAGCTACCTATTGACTGCATTATATTTTAGATAATATTATTATTTTTACAATGGCTTATAAACTACCTACTAACTGTATTAATAATTATTGTATTGACTTTTTTTCCAGAAGTTTTTTACCGGGACTTATTTCCTTGATTCACAATTTGTCTGTGGATATTCCGTCCTTAGATATTTTGATCTAGAATCTTTTAATGATACTATGAATATTTAAAAATATATATACATTTTATATGTACAAGGAGATACATTTACTAGGTATATTAGACTATTTTACTCAAACATATAACTTGTCAGATCTTTTTGAATAAAGTCCCATAGGTATACAGTAATACAACCCTCCCCCACTACGACAAGCATTGGACTCGATAGGACGATAAGGGCATGGACCAGTTGTGCTTAAACCAAAATTCGTATTTTAGGGTCAGTTTACTAATTGCGTTGCATATACTTTAGGTATGTATAATGTATATGTATACTAGATAAATTATAAATGTACTTCATTGTATAACAATT